TTATTTATTTATTTATATAAATATATATACATATATACAGTAATGTATTTTTGTTTCATGTTGTATACATTCTGTTTATAACAAAGAAGTTGAATGTAAAGCTTTCATATATAAAACTGAATAAAACACACGTGACATATATCACACACAAAAAACATAAATACAAGCGAACAAATAAATGAAGGTTTAAGCAATTATATTAAAAATAAATATCTTTGTTTTATCAAATTATATTTCTAAATGTAATGTATTTAAAAATATGTAAAAAGTATGTAATTTTTAATTGATTTTTTATATTATAAAAAAATCGTGTACCTCAAACAGCGATCTTAGATATTAAGAAATACAAATGCTTATTTACTGTGTAATAAATGTATAAATTGATCACTACATTGCACAATTTAGTAAAAATACATTGTTTCTATTCTTATGACATAGAATTATTATATAATTACTTAAATGCTATTGTAGATAAAATTAATCTTGATTTTTGATAAGATTAATCTGAAACAAAAAAGGTAAGACTTATACAAATAACTAAAGTAGGTTTTAATTTTATTGATTAAAACTTTTGCAGAGTAATATACCTATACATAAATTCCAACACAAAGCAGTAGAAATAATATACCAAAACCAGAAAATATTGCAGCCACTAGAGAAATTAATAATTCTTTGAATATATCCCTTGTAAATTTTGTGCTAGTGACTTCATATACAAAGAACCATGCTGTAAAAAATATTCCAATTCCTAATAACACCACTGCCAATAATGGAAAAATTGCAGGATTTATGGGAGAGACATATCTTGTCATAGACTCGATTTCCACCTAAATTAAAACAATAAAAAGAATTTATAAAAAAATCTAAATTTTTTTTATTTATTTAATGTATATAAAAATGATTATGTATATTGCTTCTGGAAATTCTTTATATATTATAAAAATTCTCTTGCAAATTTCACAATAAAAATTAATATATAGTTTTAATTATGAAATAAAAAAGAATTCGTTATATTACAACAGAAGGATACAAAGAAAATAATGAAAAGTAAAATTCGTATAAATACACATATTATCAATTTAATAAAAATATAATTTTATGTTAACAAATTTTCGGAAATGTACACTTTCAGTTAAAAAATGTTGAAATAAAATCTTAGAAAATTATAATTAAATTACAACATTAAATACTACACTAAATATAATAAATTAATAATACTTGATAATATTACTAACGTAAATTCTTTCAATAAATTAATATTACTTACCATTGTATCAGATAAATATTTTGACGTGGCTTAAAAGAGACGTAAAACTTACATTCAGTTACCGATCAGTATGCAATCGTATGCTGCAAACTTCAGTAAGACGTATATTCATGAAAAGAGTAAATAGAAATGGACTACCAATAGACAAAATATAAATAACTCAAATTTCTGAAGAAGACAGTAAATTTGTAGTATCTTGAAATATTAACAAAATGAATCAAAAAAGTCTTTATTTATATTGACGTACAGTTTATTATTTTATTATCTATCAATGTTATAGGAAATAATAATTGAAAAAATAATTTGTATAAAATAATTTTTATATCTCTAAACCTAGAATATAATATTAAATTTTATATTAAAAACCCTTTATTACTGCTGACACTTTTGCAGATTATAATAATTAACAATTTTGAAGAGTATATAACTAATGATGTGTAAGATAAGCGTGATATAATTTATGAATACTTTTTAAACGAAATTTTATTTTTGTAACAAGTATCTATTGGAGGTAAGTCTATTTTCAACAAAAATTATATTTTTTTATATTGTATATTTAAAGTATATTTCATATAAATTCTTTCTTTTTTACATAATAATTATTTCATACCGATAGAAAATATATTTATTATTTAATTATATAGAATATTTTTTGGGATACCAATGTAATACCTTTATTTGCGATTGTTTCGAAATCGATAGTACGTTTGTCACCATGATATGATTCATAACGCATAACATAGTATAATATTTCCAATCTTTATATTCTTTGATATCTACAAGCATTTTTTGTACGTATTGTAAAGTATTCTGCATATTTTAATTACGTAAAGATAATAATACAATTTAATTATTATATTAAATTTAAATTTTCTTATAATTACATGGACCATTACTAGATAATTAAAAATTAAATTTATAGTTAAATTTACATATATTTCCTAGTTTTAATAAAATTAGTTTCTATAAAATTATTACTTTTTATAGATAAACATGGCAAAGAATTCATTAGCAGAACAATTTTCCTTAAGGTGGAATAATTTTTCTAACAATTTAACATCTGGCTTTTTAAATCATTTTACTGAAAATGATCTAGTTGATGTTACACTTGCAGTAGAGGGTCAATTGTTACAAGCACACAAATTGGTTCTTTCAGTATGTAGTCCATATTTTAAAAATATATTTAAGGTATATAAATTATTATTTTGTCTGTTTAATATATATGCGTGTATATTATAAGCTGTGATTGCTCAGAAAAAAACTTCTTAGAATTGTTTTATAGGAAAATCCTTGTCAGCATCCAGTAATTATCCTAAAAGACATAAAATATACAGAAATTGAATCCTTGTTAAAATTTATGTACCAAGGTGAAATCAATATTAATCAGGAAGATTTATCTACTTTCCTGAAAGTGGCACAAACATTACAAATAAGAGGACTCACTGCAGAAGATACAAGTAACACAAAATCATTTCCTAATTGTGATAATCAATTAGATGTTGATTCTAATATCCAAGATATTGCTCAATCGAATATAAATACAATGAATGAAACTTCCAAAGATGTAGAAATGATAGATAGAAGAAAAAGATCCCGTGATATAACAAAAAAAAGTACCAAAAGAAAGAAACAAGATACATCAATAACACCAGAAAATACTCATAGTGTATCTAATGAAGAAGTAAATAATGATAATCAAGAAGTTTTGTTTTTAATGAATCAAGACACAAATGATATTTTAAATGAAGAAGACAATATTAATATTCCTACTGTAAAAAATAATAACGATAACAGTGAGGATACCACAATACTAACTGATGTTGAAAATTCAAGGGAAAATTCAGCACAGCAAGGTATAGAATTTATGCATATAAATATTACATAAGAAGTCTTTAAGATTAAAGTATATAACAAAGCTGTTTTAACATTATAGATGTTGAACCAGTAATTTATAGACTTTCTGCAAGAGGTCGACCACAATTAGTACACGAGGGTTACGTTTACAATTTGACATCTCGCTCTGAGGGTTTAAATAGATCTCATTATAGATGTGCTGAACAACATCGTGGATGTAAAGGTAAATGTGCAGTTATTGCTGAAAGATTTATGCCTACAGGTGTGCATGATCATAATCATCCACCAGGGTATCAATCAGAACATGATTACAAAAAAAAGAAAGGTTTAGATGTAGATGCTTCTTAAATCATCAATATTTTAAGCTTATAAACAGCATTTTATCACATTGTTATGTTATTGTTGGAACTTCAGTAAGATTGAAAAGTACTGTCCAAATATTATTGGCATATAATATGGCATGTCATAAGTTCTTCATAAAAAAACTATACACCATCTTTAAAATAAAATTTAGTACATTATAATAGTTGATAAAAGTGTGTGATCTACATTGTAAAAGTTATAGAATTATTATTACACATAACATTAATGTGACAAGCCAATGTGGTATGTGAACCATTATATTTCAATTAACTGTGATGCACTCTTTTGAGATTTATAAAAAAAACAACTTAAAAAACAGTGATAAGCACATTCCATTTAGTATTATATTTAATTTGAATTAAAGCCAAATAAAAGTATTTAATTTAACTTGTTTGCTTGCATATAGAATACTGTTTTTCATGTAATAAATATAATTCATTTATATAAATACACATAGATAGAGCGATGTAAACATGTATGTATGTACATATGTACATATGAAATGAATGTTTGGCTTACTTACATTTAAGTTATACAAAAAAACTTATATATAAGTTATCAGCAAGTGTAATAAATTTTATAAAATATAAAATTAACTAATCCATTATAAATTGAATAGATAATGTTATTAACAGTTTATAAGAAGCATTAAAAATTATAAAAAATTTATTTTTATATTACATTTCATGAACTTCTTTTTCTTGGACACTGAAAAAGTTGCCAAAATTAATGTGATAGTATTCAAGCAAAATATTCAGTTTTTAAGTAATTGAGCTTATAATTTATGTAAAAATATATGACTTTGTAAAAAGACATGAAAAATTTTATAAATACAGAAGGCATATGAAGTAATGCAGGCTAGGACAAAAGTCAGAAGTCAAATAATAGACAGTCTTGTTTCACAATTTTGCTCAATTCAATCCCACACCTATGAAATTTTTAAATATTTATTCAAAATGCATGTGTATTTCTAATCAAAATGTTAATGCCGTCTAGCCATCTTTTTTTCCAACTTCCGTTGTTTCTTCTCACTAATCTCAGGTTGTTCTGGTGCAGGGGAAAAAAACCATGGAGCTAATATTTGTTTCCATAGCATCCAACCTCCTCTCAATGGTACCTGTTGTAATAATAAAATGTAAACATTTTATAATCTATATAAACATATTATGTAAATAAAAAATTGAGAGGAGTGTAAAAAATGAAAAAGTTATTTTAAAGTGTTTTATAATTTATGATATGTTAAAACTATTTTATATTTATATCATTTACTTTATTGAGTATACTTACAAGAAGCCATAACAACCAAAAATAATTTGATATAAGAGAGAGTACTTGTACTCCAGAAGTTAATATAATTAAATCTTTTATGTGTCTGAAATAAAATAAAAGTGTTATTATATTTAACAAACTTGTTACAGTGTAATAAAGTGTTATATTATTTAAAGAAATTATTCAAAAATTTTGTGATATTTACTCTGCTATACCTCCTTCCATATTTAGATCAATTCCAGAATCTAAAAGTTGTCCAGATTCTGAGTATGTTACACGTGCTATATATTTCATAAATTGATAAGTTCCTATATATACAATTCCAGAAAATATAGTTAATGTCTGTAATTATAACACATAATATAATAATTTATATTGTTATATATATGCATATAAATGCACATTTAATAAAAGTAATTTTAAATATAAAACTCACTATTGACAATGTTGTAAAGCTAAAGAATAACATTGTAACCACGAAGTATATTCCTAGTGCTCCAAAGATCATATTTTGATAAAAACTTAATGTTGTTTTATTTTCTTCTACTATCTGCTTCACTCCTTTTGTTGCTGTTTTAGTTTTCTTAGTCTAAAGATATGGTGGATGATATTACTTATTACTTAAGTTGTTATAAAGGCATTTTTTTTTTTAAATAAACTATTAATTGAATTTTTTTATCAAATAAATGTTATATATCATATGAAAATGCATATTTAAAATGATTAAATGACAATGAAAATAAGAACAATATTTTAAATAATACTATAAAAAACTTACCGTCATTTTGTTTGCAAATTATAATCTAAAAAATATATAACGACTAAACGATTAATATTTGTTTAATGATTAATACATGACACAAACTTATCCTTATACCTATTCAAAAATACAAAAGGTTTATTAAAGCCACGTGAAAGATATCGTATGAGAAAAATCTCTAGGTTAACATTCTGTAATTTAAAATTCAATGTAGATACGTAAGTAATGATAGTCATCATTTGTTAGTCTTCATAATATTTTGAACTTCTGTTTTAATAGATTGTAAAAAAATTATGCTATATAATAAAATAACCAAATGTAGTTACAAATTTCTTGTTATTAGTGGAATCTTTAAAATTCTGTATATCGATATGAAACTAAAAGAAAATATCGACATACGTATATTTTTTACTAAAATAATGTGCTAAGCAATGCTAAATCTATTTTAATAATGTTAATAGTTAAAATAAAAGTTTAACTATATATTAAAAGTAATAGATTTATCATTTTTAAATTATTTATTAAAATTATATTTTTGCAATACATTATGTATACATATTTAAATAAATAACTTAAAAGAAAAAAAGTATAAAATTAATATTTCTTTAAACAACATTGTTTCTGCGATAAGAAACATAATTACTAATGTCTAAATATTAAGAAAACGAAGTATATCAAATAATTTTTTCATTCGCCTTCTATTACAAACAAGAATAACAAAAATATTAAAAAATGCAGTTCTTATATATTTTATCAAATATTGCGTTATTAAGAAATCTAGAATAATTTAATATATATTTCAATATTAATTTAAAACTTTAAAAAAACTTTATGTAATATCGAATATAGTAACTACAATATGTAATTTTTATCGAAAAGAATTTTACAATTTAATCCTCAATTAAATATACCTCCGTAGATTGAAAATTATTCTTTTTTTTTCATTCATAAATAAGTATACTTTTTCATCAGTTTAATATCCTATAAACAGGTACTTTTTTAATCCAACTATTTGTTTTGTCATGCTATTAAAAATTTACAAATATCAGTACTATTGGTACTGTTATCTTCTAATTAACTAGTAAAATAGGTTATGCCGTAATACGTATGTAGAATCAATGTAATAATATGTCATAATAATTTACATGGTCTTAATATAAAAATACATAATATATCTACGTTAGAAAGAGGATGAAAAAATCGAGTGACGCGTTAGTAGTAAAATGAATCAGAACGAATCGAATCGAAACGATCAACCGAAACTTTTGTCCCTGAGCAATTTCGAGTAAGAGAACTATCTTTATCGAGATTATTGGGCATTAACTGAAAAATAAAATAAAGCGTTCAGAAAAAATTAATTTTACAGATTATTTACGAAATGCTATTACCGAAAGCTATTAACAGAATATAATTTTGATTTTCAACGAAAGAACTACCGGTCTAAAATGTACATTTTATAATCGATAATGATATTCGTTAAATCTAATAGGTCTTGTAAGTTTTGCTTTGTCATTGTCCGAGGGATTGAAGACTGTATAATATTCCATGGTAAATATTAATTTTCGAAAAACAAAACACTGAAAAGCATAGTAGATGTACTCCTGTCATGACTTCTTTTCCTTCCTATTTTTGGATGCGCACGATATTTCTTTTGCAATCTACATTTTTGTAGAATGCTTTTATAAAATGTTTTTTTTTTTAAATTTGTAAATAATTTTTATATTTATTATCTTATTTTCTTATATAATCTTATTTAATATTACTTTATTTTATGTATTTTTAAATAATGACAACATGACATTCTGTCTGTACTCTTTAATTCATTATATTATTTTTGTATTATTTAAAATTTAACCACATTCAGTTTTAATTTGTAACATTATTTAAATTTTGTATTAGTATTTATTTTTTTAGTTTTTATTTAATTATAATACATTTACATATATCAATATATTTTAGGTTTCCTCCGCTGTGAACTTATAATGTGATATCATTGAGAATTTGTTTTTATTCCACAAGATTATGACTATAATCATGTAGAATTTAGTATAAGGAAGATGACGCCTCATTTTGTAGCTCTGACACCCATAAGAAGACGATGTTTGATCATACTCTCAATAGTATTAGTACCATGCGCCATTTTAAATCTTTTATCACCATCAGAGTTGCATGAAGAAACAGTCTTGCAAAATAGTATTGCAGAATTACAAGCTAAATTGGAACATTTACATGCTAAATATGTTACAAGCCAAGAAGAAATAAATTTGTTGTCACATCAATTATTGCAATTAATAGAGAATAATCACATTTTGCCAGATCTTCAATTTCTACTTAACAATGCTACATCAAATGTGACCAATATAAAATTACCATCTATATATAACTTTCTTCCTCATTTTTTGAATGATCCTAATAGTCTACGTCCAGCATTTGTTCAGAGTAAAGGCCGTACTGGAGTTAGTATGATATTAGGTGTACCAACAGTTAAAAGAGAAGTACAAAGTTATTTGATGGCCACACTTAAAAACTTATTGGATCGCATGAATCCTATGGAGACAGCAGATACTTTAATTATTGTGTTAATTGCTGAAGTAAGTATTTATAAAGTAATAGTAAAGTTATCTTAAAATCTTACACTATTTATAATTATTCTATCTAATATATCATTTATATACATTTTTACAGACAGATTTGGAATATGTGACATATGTTGCAAAACAAATTGAAGTTCAGTAAGTCATATCTAAGAAATAGCTATGTTTGATATTACAGTGGTGCCTTGTTAGTTAGCTGAGATTCTGAAGGGGTTTAATCTTAGTTTTGTGGTTTTAAGCTTTAATCTTATATATTTAAGATATACAAATAGGTGTGCCAAAGATCCATAATCATCCCACTCGCATTGTTATGAGGAAAGAGACATCCGGAATTTTCTAAATCTACCTTTCTTCATCTTTGGCGAGATTCGATCCTGATTATCGGCTAATCTTCAAGGCACCACTGTATTCATTTCTTAATATGCCTAATGTATTTACTTTAATCTTAGGTTTCCAGCTGAATTTGAGGCTGGTGTAATTGATGTGATATCTCCATCTCCATCTTATTATCCAGATTTATCTAAACTGCGCGATACGTTAGGTGATGATCATCAAAGAGTAATTTGGAGATCAAAGCAGAACTTAGATTTTGTATTTCTTATGTCATATGCTCAGACAAAAGGAACATTTTATGTCCAATTAGAAGACGATATTTTAGCTAAAAAAAATTTTATAACAACAATGAAGTCTTTTGCATTACAAAAAATTGCAACCAAAGAAAATTGGTTTGTTTTGGACTTTTGTCAGTTAGGATTTATTGGTATGTCATTGATAAAATAATTGCTAAAAATGTATTTGAATTTATTTTATATTTATTATTTCTTTAGGAAAGTTATTTAAATGTGCAGAACTGCCCTGGTTAATTCAGTTCTTTTTAATGTTTCATAATGATAAACCAGTTGATTGGTTATTAGATCATTTAGTATCAACTAAAGTTTGTAGTCTTGACAAAGATAGTGTAAGTATAGTTTTAACAAGAAGAAAGTACATTTTAAAAACGTTCTATATATTTATGTTTATTAATATTTTGTATATTTTAGAAACACTGTAAAATGGCTAAGGCAGAATTATGGGTTCACTATAAACCTTCTTTATTTCAACACATAGGAACACATTCTTCGTTAAAAGGAAAAGTACAGAAATTGAAGGTATATTATAAAAAAAAAAACAATTACATATTGTGTTCTAGTTTCAATTTATATATTTTATAATAATTATAAATATATTCAGGATAAACAGTTCGGAAAAATAACATTATATTATGCACATGAAAACCCAGAAGCCACAGTAGAAACACAAATTAAACCTTACAAACAATATACATTACAAAAGGCCTACAAAGGTGAATCATTTTTCTGGGGTCTTTTGCCACAACCTGGAGACCATTTAAGATTCAAATTTTCTCATCCTATTTTTATAAAAAGGTATTTTAAATTTGTACAATATTTTAAGCAACGAATAATTGTAATATTACTATATTCAATTTTTATGTAGGTACTTATTTAGAAGTGGAAATCCCGAACATCCATCTGATAGGTTTTATAATACTACAGTAGAAGTGTTTACAGAAATATCTGCATCCATGAATAGAAATAGTAACGATGTTACCGAGGATGGTTATGTTATTATAGGTATCGTGCAACATAATATGGGCATGTTTATTTAGTTAATTAGTAAAATATATTTTAAATTTTCTATTGAAATTAGGAAAATTTGATGCACTTGGGATTGCTCAAGGAACAGCAGATCCAAAATTAGGAAAGGTACTGATACTTCGTTTAACTGTACACAGTGAAAGTGAAAATTGGGCTATCTTATCTGAGGTAATAACTGTTATTAAAAACTGTTATAAATAATGTTTAAATAGATTTTTACACTTATTTTTTATTATTTGTATTCAATAGATTCATATAGTTGAAGATCATCCCAGTTGACCTTCAGAAAAAATATTTCGAAATTTTTTTCGGCACCATTTACAGGAATATTACATATAATAAGTTAATTATTAAATTATTCTTAGTCTTATTTTTATCATTATGATCTAATAGGTATAAATTAAAAATTGTTTTTCACCGTCCACTATAAAAGATTGTTTACACATTGTTCTAGTAAAGCGATTTTAACTTATAAAAAAAATTTAACGAAAGTTTATCTTTAAAAGATCATTATTATTACGCATAATAAGATGATATAAATTATCAAACAAATTTTATACTTTTTTGAGGTCAGTTCTAGAACAATATATGAAATTTTTGACCAGTTTTAATAATTGAATCGAAACAGTACCTGTATAGTCAATATGTGTTATTTCATTTATCAAAGATCAAAACTCTACTTATAATTTTATGTATTTCGTATAAGTCAGCAAGAAACTTTTATAACTTTAATCTTCCGCACAAGATTATTGATATGAATAAGAGTATACTTAACATCGCGATAAAAATAAGTGCCAGACTATTTTAAGAGATATTAAGGCCACCAGACAAATAAATGATTTATCTTTTCATAAAAGGAAAGAAAAAGATCGTTGAACAAATATACATTTGTAATATGTGTAATTATGTGCAATTTATATACTTTCTGTAGTATATTATTAAGATATAATATTAAAGTTTAGATTCGGATATTTGTTATATCTTAAAAAGCGATCGGTGATATAAAGTTTGTATTGTTCTCATATATGTATTATTTATTTCGAATAGTTTCTTACACACACAAACACATACATATATTACATGTGCACGCGAGCGCGAGCGTGTGTGTGTGTGTGTGTATATATATATATTATATATACAAATATACACACACATCCACGCACACACATACATGTATTTTCATATAAAATAAAATATATTTTTTTGAATATTAAGATGCAATATCTTATTTAGGACAACTGTAAGTACTGTACACTATTTATTCTTACATTATCTAAGTAATTAGTTTTATACAAATTTTGCAACAATAATTACGTATAATGTATAAAGACTGAATCTTGTTATGATCTTTTGATTAAAATTATTTTGAAAATAGAAGTATTGAATTATGTTCTTAAAGAAACCATTACCCTAAATGGTTTCGGACCAGCAGTAACTCCATCGACAAAATCTTGTACCGAAGGTTTTTTCTCTCCAGGTACTACGGAAAATGTAAATGCTTGTAATAATGCAGTAACTATGATGAATATGTTGCTTTTGGCTAAATTTTCTCCCATACATCGATGTCTCCCTATCATGGAAGAATAAGAGTGTTAAACATGATATTATTGAGAAAAGTAATAACTCTTTATTTTAAAATATGTACCGATACTAAATGGAAAATACGTTTGCGGCGCAACAGTGTTACCACTTTCATCTATAAATCTCTCTGGTCGAAAGTTTTCTGGATCACCCCATGATTCATCCATTAATATTCTGTTGAAGTTCACTATAAGCATCGTATCCTAAAATATTAATTATATCACTTCTTTCGGAACTTAAATTATATTTTTCACAATTTAGACTATTTTTGTCTACAATTTTTTTTTTTTATATTTTATATTAAATACTTACTTTTGGTATTCTATGACCTAATATCGTAGTATCTCTTAGCGTTCTATGTGGTACATTTAGCGTTCGTCCCATGAACATTCTCAACGATTCTAAGACAACAGCATTCATATATGTCATTCTAAAATAAAATAATCACATATTAGACAAATGATCGATTATGAATATCAAACTTTTTAATAACTGCAGAATCGAATTTTCATTAATTTTTTTGAGTTACCTTGTTCTGTCTTCTAAAGTTGGAAACTTATTAGGTCCAATTACTTTATCTATTTCTTCGTGTGCTTTTTTCTGAATGTTTGGGAATAGGACTAAATATAAGAAACAAAAACTAAGAGCTTTGGATGTAGTTTCTGATCCAGCCATGAATAGGTCCATACAAATGGCAAGTAATTGAGGCTCTGAAACGGTAAAATTATAATTGCCATAAGTCAATTTTTAAAGTTAAGGGACATTCTTAATATTTATAATAGATACCTGAAAATGTGTTGCTGTAATTTTTAGAATTCAAAACAGATAAATACACGTCCATCAAGTCTCGCGGTGAATCCGGTATGAAAGTTCTTTTATGATTATCCAGTTCATCCTATAAGTATATTATTTAACTTCTTCTAAAATTATATTTAGTATACAAATTGTCATTTGTTTACCTTTAAAAATTTCCAAAGTTGCTGATGAGTCTCTAAGAACGATTTGTAACCAGACATTTCTGGCGCGATAAATTTCAATAGTGGAAAGTGACCAAACGGTGCACCTATCATATCGATCTCTTTCAGAAGTCTTGTCAGGATTCGTTGAAAATAAGTTAACTCTTTGTCATCGATATTGAACCTAAACAAAATACATTAGTTGGTTCTTCAATGAATTTACATTAAAATTTAAACTATCAAATTAAACGTAATAATACTTTGAAGTGACAGAGGAAGAACAACCTTTTACCAGCCATCATTCGCCATAATGCATTAAGCACTGTAACTCCAAAAGCGTCGTGCATTGAAATTACAACTCCAGGAGAGGGTTGGGCCATCTTGACTTCCATGTACTCATCAGCATTTATGTATAAATCCGAAGCTTTTATTTGCTTTTTACTCTTTGTATATTTGTCGATTGACTCTAATTCATTCGGCTTGTCTTTTTTAATTAATTTATATATTTTTCCATTGTTATGATCGTTATTATTGTAGCACGTTTTCGATTCGTTAATTTGATTATTATGTTTCTCGTTGATTAACTTTTTGAAATGCTCGACGAGCGATCGACCTTCTTCTTCTATAATTGTAGCCATACTTCTTCGACCAAAACCGAATTCACGGAGATGTTTCAACACGAATCTTCTTTGTTCGACCCACAAATTTTCATCCACGACAATTAATCCTTGGAGAAAGAAAAAAATAAGGAGAATGTAAATACGATCAATTAAATAACATTAAATCGATAATGATAAAGTTACCTTTTCTAGAACCGAAAGTTCTCGTCTCGTAGAATAGACCAATAGGTCTGCCATCACAATCTTCGTCAGTAAGCATCGTTCGGATACTTTCATAGTCATTTAGCACCACAATACGATCAATGCCAATTTTTAGACCGACTACCGGTCCATATTTCTTGCTCAAAGCAGAACAAGTTTTGAACAAGTACCCGGTTTCCTTGCGAAGACGAGCCATTTCGATGGCGCAACCCAAAATTGGCCACCATTTTGGACCTAAAATTTTTGGTAATTATGGAACCTGCTTTTGTTTTAATATTTTAAAACTTGTTAAATACACTAAATATTATTTTTTTATGGCTGATTACAATTTCTTTTTTTTTTTTTTAATTAAAAATCTATAGATAAAAGAAGGGTATGAGTTATAGATTACTATATTAATGAATGTAAGTGGCACCTGGAGGGTATCCTTTTGGTTTCCGCGATCCTAGATACAGTAGTAGTAATAATACTATTATGCACAACATCACCATGATGAACATACTGCAAAAATTATAAGATTACTTTATAAAATAAATTACCGATTTGCTGTGAGAGAGATACAATAAAATTATTTTATAAAATGTCAAAGTAAGCCTTTTTAAGGGAAATACTAAATCATCGGTGGCTATCCTTTTTATTTTTGCGTGTCAAAAATTCGTCAATTTTATTCGTCGATTTTCTGACGTGCGCGACAGTTTATAATTGGAAAAAAATTAAATTTTATAGAATATTATTAAAACGGGTTTAAAAGTTCCATGAAATTTGTCGTTTCATATAGTTCAGTCCGATTTATCGTAAACACCATTACACAAATGTTCATTACAGTTATTTACTAATAAGATTTCTGCAGTTGTACATTTAATATCAAAAAAATAATTGAATACGGAGATAATTGCGTCAACTATCACTTCAATGTTCGATTTCAAATATTTTGGGACGAAACAACTTATATCGCAATCTTTAAAAAGAAAGTGAAACACGCGGTCTCATGGGAGAAAGTTATATACGGAAGGATCGAGGCATGTGCTTCCATTATTTCATAACTTCTTGCGTAACCGATGTACATTTTAATACCTTTATTCTTTTTTTCAAACGGGGTGTTTTTGCGATACATTCCAATATGAAACATTGACTTAATATCTACAACGCGATCGACGTTATTATCACTTTATTTTCCTTTTCCTTTTTATTAAACAAATAATTTTTAAATAATATTTCCCGTTTTAAAATTGGTATGTATGATAATTAAATTTTTATTATCAAAAATGTATTTCAAAGTTTCTTATAGAATTATTATTTTTATTTGTCAATAAATATATTTTTTTATAAACAACGGATAATATCTTATTAATGAATTAAAGAAAGCTGAAGATAAATAATGAATTTATAATATTTTATTAACGCAGTATTTTTTTCAATGATTAATTAAAATAATTTGTTATAAAATTATATAGAATTTTAAAATACAAGTTTACATAATACGACTTTCAGTTTTACGTGTTATTTGTAACATATTAAAGCGGTACCCCTCCCTATCGAATATTTTTTTAATACCCTTATTTGAATCCTTGAACTGATCTTACCTTGCACCTGGAGAAATTCACTCTTCTGTTGTGTAAGCAAAACTGGCCGTGTATCAGACTGCAAACGGCTTTTAAATACCCCTCTTCGTCACCGCCGATTTTTATTTCACAGGCAAAAGTTGTTGAATAACAGTTTTCAGATATAACCCAATTTAGTTAGAGTTCAACCATCATACGGGTATCACGGATAAGATGTTTATTTTATATTAGTCAAATTTACACATATCTGCATTGTCTTATCAAAAATAATAAAATTAATTGTTAAAAGTATTTTATAGTAATATTCTACTAATAATTTTATTACGAATAAAGGGGGAATTGAGTACAAGATAATAAATAAATAAAATTGAATTTTTTTATTATATAATAATTAAATTATAAATATTTACATATTATTTTATTTAGTTTCTTTTATTTCTATTTTTTTTCTATTTCGTTTTCCTTTTCCATTTCTTCTTCTATTTTGTTTTTCTTTTCCATTTTTTCTTTTATTTCGTTTTCCTTTCCCATTTCTCCTGCTGTTTCGTTTTCTTCTTTCATTTCTCCTTCCATTTTGTTTTCCTTTTCTTTTTCTATTTCTTTTTCCTTTATGATTTCAAAAGGTAAACGATCACCCCATTCACTACACCTTGAACAACGATACGTATTTCTAGAAACACAAAATATTGCATTAATACAATTGAAATTATTTTATAATACATTTTTCTTTTTTGTTCTTTTTGGACTTAAGTACGAACTTTCCGTTTTTCCATGTAGTAAAAACTTGCTCTTCTAATTTTCCAGAAGCTGTACACAAACGGCATCTAACGTGTTTAGAACGTCTTAGTACTGGTCTGACAATTCGTGGCCATTTACAACTATCTTCAAAACGTTCATCTAAAATTATAAATATTTTTAAGTAGATAATAATAAAAAATTGATTTTGTTCGAATACGTTTTCATTATTCAGTGTTATTATTACGCAATATTTTAATCGCGTACCCTTTTTAAGTACCACGTACGAATAAAGCTCATGTTTGTGCATGGACTTATTGCCAACAGGTAATGTTAGATAAGTTGTATCAAAATTACAAGGGGTATTATCTGTCATATATCTAGGACAATGCATATCGTGAGGGCACTGAAATCGTAAAATAAATTAATCCTTACTACGAAATGATTATACTTATCATACTTACGGGCGAAAATACATGTGCATTACGTGCATTTTTTGCATAGTTAAGAATGAAATCTCGAGCTTCGTTGATGAGCTATTAAAAATTAAGCTGATTAGTCACATATATTACTTAAATAAATTTCAAAGATGTGCAACTTACTTTGAAACCAACATTTGTTCCTTGTTCTACAATAATTAGATATTGTGCTGTTTTATTCCATAATTTTAAAATTATTTCGAGGCGAGAATTTTGGCTTGGTAATTCCAATAAAGAATATGCACTTACTACAATATCATAAGTTGGCTGTAATACAAATAACATGTTTAAACTGTATTTTAGATAATTGATGTAGCACAAATTATATTCTTACAATTGGAGAAGAAGGAAAAAATTGTCGATAAAAGATATACTGTGATTTAATTTTCGGTGTATTTCTTTCCATAAGATACTCAGACAATTCATTCATATGTTTAGAAATATCAACACAGTAATACTCCTTGATTGAATTAGACCAGAATTGCGAGGCTGCCCTAATAAAATTAAGTTTATCTTTTCAATATTTTTACATTAATATTTTTATAAAAAAATTGAATGATTTTTACATATATCTTACCACATTACTGTACCAACACCTGAACCAAAATCAAATAAAGTCTTTGGTGTAAAGTTTTTATCGTTATAAACAATTTCATTCAAAATTTTGTACAAGACACTATACTCAGGCATACTTCGACTAATTAAATATGCTATACTTGCATATTTATTATACTGGACTGGTTCCCAATTATATATAAGATTTTTCAAAAGCTTTTGAGCTTTTGGATCTGTAAGTAAATCTTCATTGTCTAACTCCTGTTCTTCAGATTCATAAATTCTTGATTTAACTTCTTGTATTTTTGATTGAATATCTTCATGTTCTGGTGGAGGATGTCGACCATTCAGGTGTGCAGATAATTTAATACTAAATGGATAAATTATTTTTGATGAAATATTTTCCTCTATCAAATAAAAATAGAACATTTATATATAATAATAATAAAACTTTGTATGAATGATATAAAACCCTTAATTTATTACCCTGCAATAATTTTTTAATTGTGTTTGAAAGCCACTTAGGTTGTTCTATTTGCCTAGGTTTCATTATACCTGGATGATGTTTATGTTTAAGTTCATTATTTGAAAGTAATTTATCTACAGTATCTATTACTTTCATTTTCTGTTGTGTTGAACACTAATAAAATAAAAAAAATAATATCTAAATTTGAATTATTATAACTATTAATATAATTATAAATCAGTAGCTTATAATAAACAATAGTATTGACATAAATAGCTTTACTTACCCACCGTATTTGTTTATATTCCAAAAAGAGTAGTTTGGTTGACATGATAAATAACCTTATAGTTTAATAGCAATTTTCTGTCAATAAAAAAGATGAATATAAAGTTTTAATATTTGTAATATAATAATATAAATATTTTAATGCAATTAATCAAAATTATAACATGAATGTTCATAATTTGAGGAGCAACACAAAATATAACGATATTGTAACATGATGCGGTATATATCCTTTAACCTCAAAGTAATTCTACATAGAGGTATCTATCATATGTTCACTATGTTTTTCCCAAAATAACTTATGATTCTTCTTAACAAATTGTTAATCCTGGCATTCGTATACTGGTGCAGTTAGTGAAATTCGAATACGACAATTGTCGAGTTAATTAATTCGCAGAAAAAATGAAATTTACAGAGCACTTAAGTGCTCATATTACACCAGAATGGAGAAAACAATATATAAACTACGAGGTAAGATTTAAACTTTTATTTTTCGTTTTATATCGACATTATAAATTGATAATCTGTAATTATGTTCAACATATTAAAAGATAAATATTATGATAAGAATGTTATTATAATATAGGAAATGAAAGCATTACTCTATGCAGCAGTAGAGCAAGCACCAGCTGCAGATATAACGGAATCACATGTATTAGAACGTTATTTTAATAAATTTGATGAAAAATTCTTCCATTATTGTGATAAGGAATTAGCAAAGATAAATACATTTTACTCAGGTAAATTATATATTTTATAATTGTTTTATTTATTTATATTTATATTGAAACATATACTAATTTATTAATTTTTTATCTTGTCAGAAAAGTTAGCAGAAGCAACACGTAGATTTGCAACCCTTAACAATGAATTGAGTGAAATTCTATCAGTTTCTGAAGATGGACAAGGATGTCATAAAATCCGTTATCATAATAATATTTTGCGTAAAAATCCAGTTTCAGGACGTAAATTGCAAGAACTGAAATTAGCTTTTTCAGAATTTTATCTATTTCTTATTTTACTTCAAAATTATCAGAATCTCAATTTTACTGGATTTAGAAAAATATTAAAAAAACATGATAAAGTAAGTAAATACAATGAGTATACATACAAATTTATATTTACACCAATTAATGCAAATCTGTTGTTTTAGCTTTTAAATATAGATCTTGGAGCAAAATGGAGAGCGGAACATGTAGATACAGCATTATTTCATACACACAAAGATATAGACAGGCTTATTGCAGAAACAGAAGCCTTGGTTACCAGAGATTTAGAACATGGAGACAGACAACGTGCTATGAAACGTTTAAGAGTGCCTCCACTTGGTGAACAACTATCTCCATGGATTACATTTAAGGTGGGACTTTTCTCTGGAGCTTTCATTGTTCTTCTTATAGCAGTGATACTTTCAGGTAGGTAGACACATACTGTACAAGTTTTGTACATAATAAGAGACTTTTAAAGGTAGATTAAGATTTGTTTTATTTTACAGGTGCACGTTATAGGGACAACAATAATTGGCGGGTTTTATGTAGATTATATCGTGGACCACTTCTTATGATTCAGTTTCTTTTTCTCATGGGAATTAATGTGTATGGGTGGAGATCTTCTGGTGTAAATCATGTTTTAATATTTGAACTTGATCCTCGAAATCACTTATCAGAACAGGTTGTATGCTTTATTTACTATTTATATATAAATTATTGACATATGTGATATATTTTCAGCACATTATTGAAATGGCCAGTATATTTGGATTGGTTTGGTCTCTATCGATTTTAGGTTTTTTATACAGTGAATCATTAGGGATACCGCCATTTGTTCAACCTGTGAGTTTTTATGAAATACGAAATTGCTAAAATAATATATATATAATAATAATATTTTTCTAGATTTTGTTGTATACATTACTAGCCTTGTTTTTGTTTAATCCAACAAAAACGTTACGTTATGAAGCTAGATTTTGGGCGCTCCGTGTACTCGGCAGAATATTTTGCGCTCCATTCTTCTATGTCGAATTTGCTGATTTTTGGCTTGCTGATCAACTTAATTCTTTACATACTGTTTTCTTAGATTTTCAATATTTTGTTTGTTTTTATATACAAAATTCTTCATGGACCAACGTCACTGGTTTGTAATTAGATATTATAAAGTATAATTATAGAATTGAATAAAAATTAGTAACTTTCTAATTTATACATTTTTCGATAGATGCAGAAACTTGTATAATGCGTGAATTATCAATGAGACCGTTTGTAGCTTGTTTACCAGCATGGTTTCGATTTGCACAGTGTCTACGGCGATATAGAGATACAAAAGAAGCGTTTCCTCATCTCGTAAATGCAGCAAAATATGCTACTAGTTTCTTTGTTGTAGTATTTTCTTATTTACATTTAACTCATGCTAGTAAGTTGCTTAGAAATAATTAACGTAATGATAAAATAATATGAACCTTTATGTAATATCATTTTGCAGAGTATTATGTAATGTCCACCGAAAATCCCTATTTTTATTTATGGATAATCGCAAGTATTTTGAGTTCGTGCTTCACGTATACATGGGACGTAAAATTAGATTGGGGACTGTTTGATAGTAATACAGGAGAAAACAAATTCCTGAGGGAGGAAATTGTTTATTCATCTCCAGTAAGTTAGTTTACGCGTTATACAAATTAAAGTAGTAATTTCATATTTACAGAGCGATATTTATATCATGTTGTAGTACTATTATTATTTCGCAATAATCGAAGATTTTATACTCCGTTTTGGTTGGGCATTTTCGTTGTCTCTGATTGAAATGGGATACGTACACGCAGATTTAATGGTTTCTATAGTTGCACCATTGGAAGTGTTCAGGTAAGTTAGAAGTAAGTTGAAATTTTTAGCGATAAATATATTTCTAGAAACAGTGATCTTAATTGTACATATACATTTAATGTGTATGAAGTATTTCATATTGCACATCATTATGTAGTATATCATTTTTAGTGGAGCTTGATGACATTTTTTGCTTGCATGATATTTAAAATCATTTTATATTTCAGTCATACAAGATTTGTTAAGAAAGTAATGTTTATCGAGTGAAACTAATAAATCATAATAAACATACAAGAAAATTTTTATTTGTTTTCGATCTTTACCTCCTGCTGTATTTATTCCTTCGTGTGTTTTATCAGTTGAACCAGCTTTTTATTATTTTTTAACTTTTTAAGCAATTTTTTATTCTTATACGTAACTGTGAACGTGTTAATTTATCATAAGAAACATTTTCTACCAATTCGTCTTACTAATCAGTTACTAGAAGGTACATGTGGAATTATTTTCGTCTGGAAAACGAACACCTGTACAACGTAGGCAAATTTCGAGCGGTTCGAGACATCTCCATAGGGCCTTACAAACGCAACGAACACGATGAACCAAAGGTGGTTATACGTTTTATGGATCGTACGAACAGCGACGATGACGAGCGCACGGCATTTCGAGATCATTGAAATTGTCATCTTGTAATTGCACCTATTATTCGTATATACTTCAGTTTGTAAACACGATTATTCTTGCGTTTAGATAAACAATGTACATTCTTCATTTATCAATTAAATGGATTCCTTTGTTCTTATTTGTATACTGCATACTAATTTGCATGTTCTGCATGTTAAGTTAATCCTTGATTTAATTTATGTTTTCGAGCTAGTTGTTTATTATTTTTATTCGTTTATTATTTTATTACATTTGGAACTGTCATATATAAAGGGTATTGTTCAATATCGATTTGAAAGTAATTACTGCTCCTTCCTAATAGGAGATTCATATGGAATTTTTTCCGTTTGGAAAACGAACATTTGAATAATTGCGGTAAGTTCAGAGCAGTCAGAGACATCTCTGTTGCACCGGTTGACTGTTCCGACCAAACACAAATCTTGAGGATGATGGACGCTGCGGATGGGGTAATCAATCGAAAAAGAAAACAAAAGTTACTGGATAAAAAACCATCACGCGCGTTTTCTAAAGGTGAATCTCTAATTTGCGACCTTGACACATAAACACATTCAGGTATGACAAATGATACACAAAACCTATGGATGTTAACCGATTTCCCTGTGTGTAAATGCGAAGAAAACAACGACTTTATTAGACGTTAAAGTATAAATATTAATCAAAATGATTCTATGTGTTAAATGAAATACGGAAAATGTATAAATCTCGTGAATGTATTATAAAATTGTTGTACAATATTTACAGCTATGCGTATACTCTTGCCACGATTATATGTTTAAATTTCCCGCGTTGTGGGTCGATCGTGAGAATCGAGTTTCGTGATGCTCGATAAATATGTAACAATAAATTTAAATTTAAGGACCTGCGGAGAACACATCGCAAAAGTAAATATCAATTTCTCTTAAACATTCGAATGAACGATTATAAATTATAATAAAAATAAAGTATTTTGATGTTTTTAATAAATCAACAGAGCTATTTTCTCCCTTTATTGTTTTCGTACTAAATGACGCCATATTTGATTCGTTTAATAACCAACAAAGATATACTTTTTCTTTTGTCTTTTCTTATTTTCTGTTCGCGATTATTGTTCACGATTATTATTTATTACCATTTTAACATTACGTTTTGTGATTTTAATTGAAAATAGAAATGTACCCTTCACGATAAGGTATGCCGTTATTACGATTGTTCTGACTTATCATGAATTTAACTCTGAATGTTTAGAACACCTCGACAGCTGAAGAAAAAGCGATAATGACGTATGAGGTATACACATGTTGTTAATACCCTTTGAATTGACGTTGGGATCAACAGTACAGTGACGGTACAGTGTTTTCAGAAGGCGTTGCTATTGGACGCACTTTTACAGTGCAAAAATATCAATTGCGTTGCGTTATATTATGAAAGAATTGTTTAAAGATAGTTTCGGAAACGAAGTGTCGAAAGCTCGTCCAATTTATTTCTAATACAGCTAGTAAGTATTCTTATACATCAATCTCCATCTATTTATTTGTTTAGCAAGCTTTAAAAATATTTGACGAGTATGTATATATACATTGACGATTAAAGACTCTTATTCTTTTATATAAGAACCTGCCTCGTTTAATTCGTGCAATATATCATGTTTCTAATGAAATCTTTAACCTTTGAATAGTGCTATTTTTATCTCACAATATCGTCTCCTAGAATTATCTACGTTGTTTAACGCTAAACCTACTACGATCGGTCCACTGGCCGTTGCAGTTGCTTGAAAAAAAGAAAGAAAACTTAAAAAATGTCACAAGAACAGATATTGAAAGATCGACTATACGTATATTCGAGAAAAACATCACCTAAATCGAATAACCAAGGCGATAATGCGAAATGTGGAATTTTCAATCGAAAGTTTAGAAATGATCGCTTAGATCGTGATTTATAGGATCAACGTTAAAATTTTTTAGTCGACGATCTTCGTTTTATTTTGCTAATCTAACATCTACAGAGCACTGATGACCACCATGGTCCCACTGAAAATGATAGTGCAAATTTCCAGTCAACCAACGTGGCAGTCCACGTGTTAAAATCACAAGACCCAGAAAATTTTGATTCGAATGTTCCCTTGTCTGTCAACAATGATGCGAAACCATTAAGATACACTGGCTGTTCATAAAGAAGTGCTTGGAACTGCTTAGGATACTCGATACATCGATCCTCTTAAAAGCACCAGGCTAAATCCGAAATAAGGTGCCATTGGAGTCGCTGGTTGCTGGAGGTGCCAGACGGTAAATATCATTTGCAGCACAGGTGTAAGTCGCATTTTCAAATAGACCGAGCTCGAAGGGAAGCTATAGACACGACGCCGAAGACGGAAACGAGTCCACAGAAGGGCAAGCGTCGGTTTCGTCGGTGAGGATATCGCAGTGGAAAGGGTAATAGTGGTATTGATTGCCGCGGAACTTGACCGCGCAAACTCTCTGTCTGCCCTCAATGAAATGACGTGCTTACATATGGAACCACGACGGACGGGACAACGATAAAAACCTGTGGATACCACACCTGGCCGACACCTGCCAGTTGAAACGGTGATGATGACATCGACCCTCTGCACCTGCACATGGCTGCTGCTACCCTGCTGTGTCCTCGTCACCCTCACTGCCGGTGAACTTAACTTTTATTCAGGTGAGCATATCGTCCGTTCGTCCGAAAACACTGCTCTTTACGAGGGTAATGACACTACAGTGTAGCATTGCATTCTGTTCAATGTCCACGACCTTCCACTTCTTCCCGTTGACTTTTTATCATCCTCCTCCTCCAGCTTCGCTGAAACCTCGACGTACAGCCGAAACATTCGAAACACCATCCACTTTAAATCACGAATGTCATCATGACGACGTAATCGATCGTCCCGCGTTGCTTTTACTTTCAATTCTCCGCCGGGTCAGTCCCGTTTTTCGTCAATTTTTCATCGTTTGCATGCGCGTGAGTGGAAGACTCGGATTTTCAGCTTTGCAAAGCATGCTTGGTTACCGTTCGGTGTTTGCATATGCCTTCGCGTGGTCGGGTACCCAGTAACGTGCAAAGGATGTTCCCTGTTTCTCTTTAAACTTTCAACGCGATTAGATCGAACGATGCATCGATCACCTTCGACTACGATTTATTTCGAAATATGAAACTATTTGTGCCAGGAGGATATAGTTACGTCCTCGTTGTACGCTGTAGTTCTAAACGATAGAGGAACGAGATAAATATGTTTATCGAAACCGTAGTACCGCATGCATCGTGCGAAAGGCAGTGTGTTACCGCAAGAATTTCCTGCTCGCGTTTCTGCCATATCATCAGGAAGTAAACCGATAACGCGCGAATATTGCATGATTTTGCCAACGTTGTTTCGCATTCCTGATTTATTATGTACACGCACGAATATACGCGCTTTTGTCGAAATAAATGCGAAGTTGAGCATGCCTTTTAAGACGCAACAAGTTACTGGAAAGAAAGCCGATTTTGTCACACGAATATTTTTCAGATGACACTCCAGCATCGTCGGAGAACATCGCTCTGAAGGAACTGATCAAGTATATAGAGGGCCAGAGATCGCATTTACCCTCGCTATTGGCGAGCCAGGCTCGCAAGAAGCATCACCTGGACTTGGACCTTCAAAGGAGGAAGGACCTTTTGGAAGCCTTGGTCAACAAAGAAACCTTGGCAGAGATCCTGAGGAAAGGGAAGCTGAAAGGATGGAATCAGCGAACGCGATACAACGAGCCGATCGAGGAATTAGCGAAACAGAGGGAAACTTATCTTCCATTCACAAACTTGATGCCGCTTACGAATCCCATAAAGAACCCTAACATGAAGCTATTCTATTTTCCTCGCGGAGAGGATGAGAATTTTGAGAACGACGATGTCGGAACTGGGAACGACCCGAACCCGGTAATGAAGCACATGTTAAACGAGGAAACGAACTTCGATAGGGGAATGAAGGAGGAGCCGTTGTTGGAGTTCTACGGAAGTTTCAGTGGGTCGGTTGACGAGGGCAGGAAGAACGATATGCGGCTGCAGCAGCCACACATGGCTGCCTCGGAATTCACTTTCAAGTTTGACGACTCGAATCTGCGGGAGAGACACCCGTTCGCAGTGAAACCCAACGATCCTAGATATTACCAGGACACTTCTTTTTCCTTGGGTAGCTTAACACGTTTTATGCTCTATTTTAATAACTCGAATAACTTTGACTTCGTAAAGTACTCGTACGTGTGCCGGTGACTATAAAAGTGGCCTAGGTCGAGTACATTTCGGTTCAAAATATTCAAAGTTTCGCGCTTCGAGTATACTATAAGTTGAAAAATTAAGTAAAGCTGCAAACTCGATCCAACGATTCGATTTTTCGCTATTTTGCCAAACACGGCTTTATTTTATCGATGCAGAATCAGGATGAGAGAATCACGTTATAGCGCGGTCGTAAAATTGCTCAGACATCGAAGTAAGCATATTCAGTTGCCGGGACAAGTGATTAACAACAATGTGATTGCACTGTCAACCATTTTTCGGGTGTCGAGTTTTGTAGTTGTTCATTTTCGAGATATTCTATTAGCAGTTACTCATATGACATAATTCCTTTATGTACATGAAATCTGTTTTCGTCTATTTTTCTCTGACAGACACGTAAATCGCACGTTTCGCAATTTCATCAACGAAGAAATTAGAATCTTTCACAATTCATACAATTGCAGAATTCAAAGTTAAAGTTCTGAATGTCGCAACACCGATCAGTGTCGATTCTTAGGGATTTCGTGTAGAGAATCTAGTTATATCTTTACAATTTAATTGAGGATAATTTATGTTGTGGTCTCTACGATACGTCTTGTGATTAATAGATGACGAAGATAACTCGGATTTTGGGAAACCGATGATAAACGATACGAACGGAAGACAATTGGAACAGGAAAGTATAATGTTGGGGAAAATGCACGCTATACGCGAAGAAAAGCCCAGAAACGTTGAATCCAAGTTTGGGAATACTCCGCTATTGACGATAAAGAGTTTGGACGGAAAAACGGATTACACTTCGATGCTTTTATCTATGAACCATAACCCTAATTATGAGATATATGGTATTGGTATGTTGTTACCATTAGTCTGATCATTTTTTCGCGCTATTTCACGACGGGATATCTGTTTGCTTTCAGCTGTGATCGCTGGTTGCACCGCAGTAGCGGTGTTCTCCACAGTGTTGCTCGGTTTTACATGGTGCAGGTAGCAAACAATAATTTATATTAATAAATTCCTGGGATCTTTGAGAACTTGTTTAACGTTGCCGCGTAACTTCTGTAGATTAAAACAAGCCATGAAGGCGGCTGCTGATATAGAATATCCAGCTTACGGTGTAACTGGTCCAAATAAAGAGATATCGCCATCGGGAGACCAAAGACTTGCCCAGTCTGCACAGATGTATCACTTCCAGCATCAGAAGCAACAAATTATTGCAATGGAAAAGTAAGTTATTTAAGTAGTACGCTGGAAGTAGCAACTTTTACTGCACGTTCTCGGTTTACTGTGCATTTTAATGATGCACACACGCACGAAATGCCCAGTGAGCATTTGTGTTAAACTTCGGAAAGTGTCAGAACGATTTTAAGAAATTTCATTCTAATTAGAGAATATCGGCTGGATAATGATTTGTGTAGTCATGTTTCTGCAACCAGAGATCCAGGCTCTGTATCTGAAGCAGAAAGTGAAGAAGAAAACGAGGAAGGGGACTACACCGTTTACGAATGCCCGGGACTAGCTTCTGTAAGTTGAGTTTCGAAAATTTGATGAAATTCTATCCGTGGAATTGTATAAAGGTGTTCACGAGGCTTATTTTTTGCTAAGACTGGTGAAATGGAAGTAAAGAACCCGTTGTTCCACGATGATCCAACACCAGCAACACCAGCACAAACTAATAAAGAAGAGGACCATAACATATAGTTTGAGTAAATCCTAAATATATTTGATTCAAATATCTTTCCTGGTGCTTAGCTCACTGTTAATGTACCATATCGGAAACATTTATCTATATATTGAATGTACACAACTTTAATATTTATATGACGCGGGAAGTCAAGATAGAAAGTTAACTAAGGGATCCGATGCAAGACCATTTTTGCGTTTTGTGCAAGGGATTTATCATGCGAAACGATGAACATTCTACGTCGTTGCAAACTATCGTGTTTGTTTGAAAACACATATTTTTTAACTCCATGATGTACTATAGTTTGTACTTTCATAGCAAGTACGGTTAGCCATATGATTCACATTATTTTTCTACTCACCGTTACACTTGCAACATAGAGTACAGATTGGAGATCATATTATACTGTAACATCTAATGTCACTTTATACTTGATCCTAATTTTCGAATCTAGAGATAATGTTTATTGCATGTTCCCAACAAACCTTCGTTTCACTGCATATCGGTAAATATTGAATAATTGTTCATTAAAGAAATTCATTACTTCTCTATAATTTTCAAATGCTGGTAATATAATATCCTTACATTCTACATTAGAATTTCAATTTGTGCTTATGAATTTATCGTACTGCTAACATACGTTTCAAATTGAACGTATTAATTTATGTTATAGAAATATATACGTATGTATATGAATTTTCAGTAATTTCTTACGGAAACCAAATATTTGAAGCTTAAACGATTAACGATATAATTTGATACGTTATAGCAAAGAAAAGGTTTATTTTGGGTATAATCCATGACTTGATGTAACGCGAGTAATATTTTATGTTAACATTGTTGTACCAATATTTAACTTAGTTCGAGCGAGGTTACCAAAATGATAAAATAACTTCCATTCTGCATGTGCTGTTGCTTTTGGCATTAATGCTGTGATCTGTATCATCTAAATGAAAATTATGTACATATATTATATATTTGTTACAAAGAAGCTGTTCCTTTAATATTGGCTATTATACGTGCAATATATATACATATAATTTATTGGCTTCAAGCAATGATAATATGTATTTTATTTTTCTATAATACCTGTAACTTTTGATAACTGTTGATCTTCAAACAGTTTTAAGATAAAAGAGCCTATTATTATACCCAATATGAGATATAGAAATGACTATTTATTTTGGCAAACTTTAAGCACTACATGTAATTAGCGCCGAGTATGTAATTTATTCAAAGAGTTACTATTTACACTCTCGAATATCTGTGGAATAGTATATATATAATATATTGTAACAAGACGAAACACTAATCTCCTAAAACCTCGTCTGTTTAATCATCGATGGTAGGTCGAAAATTAAAACACGTCAACAGCATGAATTTATTGTTAGCCTTTCAATGCCTTCACAGCACTGCATCGTCGAATATATAAATTCGTTAAATTTTATAGAAAGGACACTATGAAAGGACAATCTGTGTACAAATAGGCTATTGTATAGTGATTTGTAGCATGATTGTATGTGTTGTGAGCTGTAGCATAGGTGCAATGAAAATATTGCAATTCATGTTCGAGATATGTTTCATATATATATATCGTTATCATTATTATTTTCGTTCTTCCATTAATTAAAAAAAGAAGGTGTAAAATACAAATAATAAATCGTGTATTATTATTTTACTAAATAAATTGTTTATTTTATAAAGAATTTCCATTTTCTTCCCTGTGCAACGAATTTTGTAAAAGGATAAAAGCAATGGAGTTTTTTTCAAGTAATAATAACATTTTTACAAAAATATATACGTTTATTCATATTGACATGTCTATTTACAAGTTTCATGTGTCACGTTCATAGTATATGGTATGAATATTTACATGAAGCTATTGTGATGTTATCTGAGACTTTAAAAATTTGCGATAATAAATACTACAGATAAAAATATTCAGTTAATTGCATATAATATAACGTTATTTCATAAGCCATTCAAAACAATTCTATTGCATTTTTATCAAAACAAAAATTATAATCTCTTATCTTGTAAAAGTTTTATTTAATTAAATTATTGGAATTGATCTAATAATTTTATTTTACACGAAATTTGTACTAGTATAACAAGGCTATCGTACTTTTTGTATTCCAAAAAAAAAGAGGAAGAAAACAATTTGATCTCTCTTTTTTTGTTCGAAGATATCCTTTACCCTTGAAATAGAGTAAAAATTAATATTAAAATATACATCATTCATATTGCTTATGTACAAACTGTGCATCTTTCTCAATTATGAAGAGAAAATTTTAAAAAATTGTTCTCAATTAAAGAACAATTCACGACGTTAAGTAAATTAACATTCTAAATTTTCGAAAGTGTCATGATCATATAGTTCGAATACAAAACAGCCATGAATTATACAATAGAACAATAACGAGGAATAATTATTATTAAAGTATATCACCTGCTCCACTTTTTACGTCTATGTAATATCGGAGGTCTTTAATCTTCGGGGATGCTTGTGTCTACATATTTATAAAATCTCGCCATTATAGCGAAAATTATTATATCGACGAACATCAATCCCGCAAACAAAATATATTCGAAGATCTAAACAACAATAAAAAGAAAATATTATCTCTGAGTTTATACAAAATTTTGATAGATATCAAATCTAAATAATGTAACTTTTCAAAAAGTTTAATGTTATGGATGTTAAATAATGCATGACTCGTAGTTGTCATGCCGTAAACGCGATTGAGCAATCATGGCTACCGTTCATTCGGCCTTGGATTATTGTAAAAGTCTAGTCTGGACGTATGTATATATTAAAGACTTTTACACAGAGAGAGTTAAATACTTGAAAATGAAATTTTCTTCACTTGTACTTACCTGCCGATTAAAGAACGATACTTCCGCAACTATAACTACGATGAGATTACCAAAAGCGACTGTCAGCAACCAAGAGGCTTGTAAAAGAGACTTCATACTGCTAGGTGCTTGTGTGAATGCAAATTCTAAGCCGGTCACGGAGAACATTACTTCACCCATCGTGATAATAACATATTGTGGAAGCAACCATAACATATGCATCGAATTTGGTTCAGTTACAGTTATGACGTTAACAGCTTCCTTATCTTCAATAATAGATCCAACTATTGTATATACTCCACCGAGTTTAAAAGGTACATTTTTTTTTATTAATGCATTATTTAACAAAATATCGTAATCGTTGGGCTTAACTGTAGCTAGTGGATTAAATTCGATACTACTATTTATTTTGAGATCAAGGGCAACTTTATCATCCTTCACCAATTTCAAAGAAATGGGTATCTCCGACCATTGTACAGATATAAGATTCCGTAATAAAGGATCACCTGTTAATGATTTATCTACCGAATCATTATATTGAACAATGATACCGTTCGGTACAATGGCAGAAGAAATTGCAATGCCTTCCGATAGAGTGATAGTTCCTAAAAATATATTTATCTGCAAAGTCTTATAAATAAAAATCATATAAAAAGAACTGCACAGTCTACTGAATTGTTTCCGAAATTTTACATTGATAAAAATAATGTAAAATAATTCCTGACATACCGTTATCAGTTTCTGGTATATTCATGATACCGGCATTTTTGCATTTCGTAAAGTTTGCTGAATAATTTAATTCTAATGTACCATTTGTTTTGATATACTGGTCTACCCACATATCCAAATTGTTGATAACGAAAGCCGGTTTCTCATCTAATTGTATTTGTACAGGACAATCCATAGTATTGAAAATGCGTAATTGTGTGAAGCCATTCGACGGTAAAACCGGATATGTTTTCTGAAGAATGAAACGAAAATATACAACGTGTATCAAAATATTTGTTGCGAAATTATTTTAGGGTTACTAAAGTCTTATTTCATTTCGTATGCTGTAATCGTGCTTTATACATTGTAATTTACTCACGTACCTCGAGATTTAATTCAACGAGAGCCGCTGCCACGAACGAGAAAGAGGCTAAAAATCCACCGATAGTGAATACTCTTAATGGGGTTCGAAGACCAATCTTCCCCATAAGAGGGTAAAGACAAGTCTCGAACAGAGGTATAAAAGCAAGCACCAATAAAGGATTAAGCACTTGCATCTGATCTGGTTGAAGCAGAAAACTTCCAATTTGGCCATCCATTTTGGTTGCTTGAATCGTCCATCGAGAGCCTTGCTGATCGAAAAGTGCCCAAAAGATCGGTATCGGAAGAAATAGTATCATCACCTGTAGAGCTCCCCTAATGTCGTTTATCAATGATTTATCATACTTATCGTCTGCATACTCGAGCCAATACTCCCTTTTCTCATTCTTCGTCGTTATCTTCTTGTAAATAGCATGCTGAAATTTCAAAAATATCTCACAATATAATTTAATTCGTCAATTTTAAATACAGAAATTATCGAACTTACGCAGATGCATTTAGAAACATTTAACACGACATTTCCTGTAGGCTTGGCTATCTTGTACAAGGGTTTCCCAAGGACGAATATCACTGAAAGGAAGAACAGAAATAATGAAATTATCTTATCGATTGAGGAATGTAAAAATTGTCAAGCATGGTTTCTTCCTTATGGAACTCACCGATAGATAAAGCCATAAGAATGGCAGGTATGACGAATGCCAAAGAATAACAGCTGCTTTGCCCGAAGCACTCGACATCGGAACGAAGCACGGGAGTGAGGAAGCTCGAGATCAGTGATCCAGAGTTGATGGAAAAGTAAAACAAGGAGAAGAATGTGGACAAGTATCGTTCCTGTTGCGGCAAGATGAATTGGTCACCGCCAAATGCAGTCACGCAAGGTTTTATACCACCTGTGCCAATGGCTATAAGGAATAGACCAACCAATGAAAATTCTCTGCAAAATTACACGTTTACAAAACAAGATTAAACGTCACTCGATATTTTAGCACTAAATTTATAATTTAAACTCCAATAAATCCACTCTACATCGCTTATTTGCAAGATGAAGCTATATTCTTCACGCTAAAGTGATCTACTATAAGATCCCCTATAAACTAGAACCAACAGCTGAATTATGAGAAAACAATATCGACATAAAATTCAGCCGTTTGAGACAATTAATTATAAAGTTTGAAAGCAAAAAAAAAAGGAGAAGAAATTTTAAACTGACCTGGCTGGTATTCCCAATGGAGGCGCCGCACTTAAGGCTAACAGAAGTTGTCCTATGGCGTATACAATACTTAGGTAGAAGATGGTGCGGAATTTTCCCAAAAAGGAATCAGCCAATATCGCTCCAATTAAAGGAAAAAAGTACACGAACATCGTGAATGTATGGTATATGACAGTAGCCATATCTAAGCTGTATAATAATTGATTCCTTAGATAAAGCGTCAGGACAGCTAGATAAACAGATTTAAAATTACGTAGTATTTATGAAACAACGAGGATCGGCAGAGTACATTCCGAATTAAAATATCAGATACGTACGTTAAATGTTAACAATATAATTACCAGGATCTTATCATTTCGCAATTTCATATATGACAAGATATCGGAGTTAGATGAAAAAGATAAAGAATAATAGAGATAAATTTGTATAATACGTACTACGCATCCCATAGTAGGAGAACCTCTCGCAGAATTCATTACTAATGATGAAAAATACCGACTTGGGATACTTCAGCTTCTGCAAAATTTTGAAAATACATAAGATAGCGACATAAAGATTATTTCGTGCAATACAAGATAGAAAAGGAACGCGAAAAAATGCCAACACTGATCACGTAATTCGATTAACTTCGTGGTCATTATTGTCGATCAAGAGGAATTGTTTTTTGTTCTCTGTTGTAACCGAGATGTGAAGGCCACACACGGTTCATACAATTATTTACGCTACTGGCGCCGTTCAATTTAAAAGCTACAATTCAATTGCCATATTTCTATTATTCAATTTTTATTTTTATTCATTTATCTATGTAATATATTATATTAGCAAGAAAGTTCTTGGCTTAGATTATTTCGTCAAACATATATCTCACTTACACGTATGTATATGCAATTGAGTAAAATTTCAATTTCGATTAAAAAATATTACAAATGTTAAGGTCAAATATTTAAAAAAATTTATTTTCGCTCACTTATTCCAGTTTAAGATAATTAGAATCGATAACAAGTTAATGATTTTTTAAATGCATTGTAACTTTGAATAAGTTACAATGGACGACCCGTTCTTCGCTTACATTTCTCGTCATTGTTCTTTTTTTGTAGAACGTTATGCAACTCGATAAGGTATTTTGTTGAACCTAAAACTATATATATTGTTTTTAATTAATTAGTAAAAAAAAAAATAAAAGATTATTACAATTTATGAATATGAATTTCACACGAATTATTTAGCGAATTTAATCACACATTAAGAAGAAATTATGTTTCATGCTTATGCGTTATACGAGATAACATTTTCGAAAATTATTAAAAATTTAAGTTATCCAGCAAATATTGATGGATCGACTTTAAATTTTGAAATACAAATCGCCTGAAACGCGCGCGATATAGTAAATGCCGTATCGTGAATTCACATACCGTGAAATAACTGACAATTTTTATTATCTTACATAGATATTTCAACAGACATAACTTCGTTTTGTGTCGGAAACTAGGTAATGAATAAAAAAGAATTGTAGAAAAATATATAAATTTTCTTACGTCAGTCTCATATAATTCTAATTAAATTCTACATACTTTTTCTACGTGTAAAATATAGAATGTATATTTTAATGTAATTGGCGCATTGTTTTTACTAAAGAATATACGTGTTTCGTTAAAAAGTGTTCATATTATCTTGTAGGAAAAGCATTACCAGATTTTAAAAGGAAAATTGAACAGACACCTGATTGCCTAAAAAAGCGAAAGGCAAAAAGTAAAGATAACTACAGTTAAGTTAGTGAGAGTGTAACGTATTCCACAATCGATATGTTGATTCATCGAAACGATAAATATTTTTATCACACTGTTTCAGACAGATCAAATTTTCATTAGTCAGTGTCCGATTTGTAAATACGTATTGTATTTTTTTACACGAAATTTGCTGACGTGTTGTCCTATAAAAATTACGAAAATCCTGTTAAGATTCCTACCTCTGAGTCCGCTTCATTTTTCACACCCATTATGACTGTTAGTTGTTCACATTAATCGTGTGAGTTATGATTACGATTAAAATTCGAATGAAGTACTCAAAGAAATTTCACACGGGAAATGTGTACCGATGAAATTTGTTGCATGCTAATGACGAATTCTTCAAAACTGTATTAGTGGAAACACTTTTTCTCTGCAAGAAACGATAAAAAAATATATTGGAGACGCAAATCGCAGCGCGCAGTTACTGATCGATTGTGATAGCTAGATCGATACTTCCGATCAGGAGCGATGTTCAACGCGGTTGGTAGTTGAAGCTGCACTGTTGAATTTCTCGCGTGCCTACAATATGTATTACGATTAAGTCTGACGGTGGCATTGACGAACATTACCAAGTAGTGGTACGTCTCACCTACTTCGAACAATGTGAAAGTCCCCTCTCGAAACACAGCTAACATCTTAAAGTACATCTTAACGATATCTCGTACAAATAACATCTGTGATGAAGTGTTATACAAGACCATTTGTTCCTGTACAGTTTTTATAACGCAACAGGATTTATCATATGAGGTATATTAGGAAGCATAAATAGCATAGTTCTGCTGTATGCGAGTAATAATCAAATATGATATGAATTAATTAGAAAGGTTTCTTGATCAACTAAGATATTTATCGAAGTTTTATGTTTTGATAAGATACAAATTTCATTACTAAATAATATTGTATTATCTTTAATTTAATCTACCGTTACATTATTCATATCGCGTGTTATTTCTTTATTCGAAATATTTAGATACAGGTTAGAATTTGAAGTGCACTTTGTAACGTATACTATACCTTTAGATTTATAAAAACCAAAAGAGGATTTAAAAGATAATCTATGTGTTTAACCTGTGTTCAATCATTAAGATTATTTTTTGTGATATCTCAGATAAAAAGTGATATTAAATTTTTGTTTTATATCACATGATAACGAATTTCATAGGAATTTATAGAAAAAAAGAAAAGATACTTAAGATCAAGAAACTTTGACGTACAAGAGTTTGGATGTAAGAAAAGTGAAATCTGTTCTTGATTTTTGCTTTAAAGTGCCATGACATTATTTCACGAAACTGGTGCATTTTGCAGAGGCGTAACTTAAGGTATGTTTGTTCGCCAATGCGTTTATTTCAAAATTATCGTCCTTGTTGTTACTACTATCGTATTAAACTTCCTTTTCCAAATGAAACATTAATAAATAACGATAATGTATGATTTCGCCATAGGGGAAAAATTCTTCAGATCTCTTTGCATACGTACAAAGTTCAGTTTACGTGGTGAAAGTATTCGATGTAAGCCAATTGTGCGTATTTTACGACAAAATTATTTTTATCTCGAAACTTTCATTGGTTAAATGATTTTGAACATTATCGATAAAATGAGACACGAACATATTCACGCAGGATGTCCGAATAGGTTTACTGGTTAATGAAATTCGTTCCAACCTTACATTTCCGTTTCGATTCTTATGCAAGTATAATTACGTTGCAGGTGAAAATGAAATAATAATAATTAATTGACAAGGTGCACATAATTTAAATATAACCTATTGGTTACTTAAGATTTCATACGTTCCGTCGTGACTTGAAAAATAACTAAATTTAGAAGAAAATAAAATCTTTTACCATATGGCGGAAAAAACTGCGCAATAATAGTTAAATTATATTTAATTGGTGATTATATATAGATACTGCTGACTAACAGTAACTTTATTATCAAGTGTTTAACTTTTATGATTCATATTGCAATTAATAATATTAATTCCCAATAATTCCCAACATTCATTAATCTGTCATGTTATAGTACTATATGAGAAAAAATACCTTTATCATCAACGAATCATTTATCAATATCGATAAGTAAAAATCTTTAATATTTACCTCATGTTTCTTTTCTGTATTACTCTCATTGTCCGGATGATCTGAAAACACATATAGTGGAAAAAGAGGTTGATAATGTGCGTATGACACAATTATTAGTTTATCGTACTATCCCGAATCTTGAAAAGATATAACCATTTATATGCCATTTCAATGACATCCATTTATTTTATTCGACGTTATTTCATTTAAAAAAAATTACGCCATTGTTTTTTTCATTTTTTTTTCTTTTTATTTAGTAATTTGAATAATCTTGTGGAACAGGTTATAGGAATGACGTAATTCCTTTTAAGGTTAGTTGTTTTACGAAGGTTGTCTTTCGCGCGTATAAAACGATGTTCTATTGGTCTAGAAAATCGAACCTTTTAACACATTGGTATAACAATCTTGCATATAAATAGATTTTATACTTTATGGGACATCGAATTCATTTAAACAAAAAAAAGAACTGTCTTCAAATAAGACCGGTCATCCATGTGTAACATTTCAAGTCCCCATATTTGTAATCTAATGGGACTAAAGCTTTAAGTAATATTAGAGTGGTGCAAGGGACTCTAGTTAAAAATAATCTGTTATGTCAGCTATTAATATTTAAGAGGCGCTATATTAATTTATTGTTCTCGAATTAGGTCATGGAACAATCAAACATTCAAATTAAATAAAAATTTTAATCGAAGATGAGTTGCCTCGCTGAACATCACGTTTCAGCTTATCAATGGACACTGTTCAATAATTTTGGGTAAAATATTATAATTTAGTAAGAGTAATTCAAAATTTAATTCTGTTTATTAAATTATTAAAACCTACTGTACGGTATATGAAGAAAATAAAATTTTTTTTGCTAAAATCTTACGAAATTTTACACGTCATTTATGTTCTATATCTATGTAATATAATCAAAGATATTAAAATCAATGTTCAATCAAGCAGCATACTTGTATTATCAACATTCAAGTACTTGTGATATATTTTCTTATACACCATTGAAAAACTGTAAAAATTTTCAAAAATTTTCTAAAGTTAATTTTGAAAATATCCAAAAATTAAATGGTTTGAAATTTGTGTTGAATAAAAATATCACACTAAAAATTATTCCGCAATAAATATATAGCACTTTATAATAATATGATAATTTTTGACTCTAAGAATAAACTCTTTCTAAATGTCTAGATTGATTGAATTTAATAATTTATGGAGATGTTAAAGATAAAAGACCAGACTTTTAAAATATGAATCAAATGTATACCTTGTATTTCATTAATAGAAGGTTTCCTCACGCTCATCTTCGCTTTGTAATTTCTTAAACCTGTTCTTACGATGTTATGCCCAGTACTGATATTCCCATTGTATTATCTCTTTACGACTATCTGGTCTTATCAATCAAAACATTCAAACCAACAATTAATTCTGGGGTCGTTTATCACATTCGATAGAATCGAAATTGTTTAAGAGATAGATAAACTTTATAGATTCCTCTACGTTCTCCATAAATACTTGAATGGGAATAATAAGATACAAAATGTATAGACAATTCATCCTTTTTCTTTTTAATCACAAACATTAAATCGAAGATTTTAATAAATTATAAGTAAATCGCTGCAAACATTAAAATGATTACAAACATAGTAAACATAATAAGAATAATACGATTACAAGTACGCGGCGGAGAAATAGCAATTTTGAAGTGCAAATTTATTATACGTATTAAGTATTCGTTATATCTTCTCTCTTCCGGTCGTACATTAATAGATTTTATCAAAAATATCTTACTCGCAGATCAGCGTGATATTACCTTTTTATAAGCATCTTCAAAAAAGCAATGAAATTATGTACATCACGTTCATAAGATGTAATGCAATGCAACTAAATAAAATTCAGAAATAAATATTTTTTTTTACAGAACTTAATATTTTTCATTTTTTATTACATTTATAATTACAGTTTTTTAGTAATAACAGTGGGTAATAATATATAAGAAAATTCGGAATTGATATTTGTTTGAAGTATTATTACGTTTTTATAATCTATTAATGTTGCATACGATTTTGTAAGATTTAATATATCGATAATCATAGATCGTTCTTCTGTAAAGCTTCACGATGAATTTGTATGATAAACATACACCGATACTTGAAATTTACCGCAATGGAAACAATGTTAAATGTGTGACTGTGTGCAAGAGTCAACCCAACTCTATGGTGATTTATAATAATGGATAATCGTATATTGTGAAACCATCGAATTTCAATCGTATACTTAGAACTGCGATATGCGCTGATATAATTGCGCTAAGTGACTATTGTCACGTTGTGTGCTACTCGTGGAAAGTAACGGTATACTTCTGGAGCTTTCACGTTGAACGCCATCGAATTTGTGATTCTGGATCCACACAGTTTTACAGGAGAGGCTCGTCGCCGCATACGAGGACGAGTTACTGTACTTAGTTCACATTATGGGGTTCGATGTGAACCGCTTTCAGGGCGAAGTTGATGAGGAACTTGTTTGCCCGATATGTTCTGGAGTTCTAGAAGATCCTGTCCAGGTATTATTTCTGTTTCGTTCGTTTACGATCGAATGCTTCCAATAAACCAGTTTTGTGCGTTTACGTAAAACTAACCTAACTTTTCTACCGTCTTTCTTTCATCGTTTTTATGATTATTCTGTTTTCCATTAATTATTAAGTATTGCCAGATTCATGCCGGTGTTTCTTTTCATACATCACATTGCCTAAAGTAATTTAGTGTATAAAAAGTATTAATTAAAATTTAGTATTGATATCATAGTGTCAATCATTTGAATTTTTACAACTTCCGTTCTGTCAAAAGCCAAATTGTTTGTAATTATTATACTTTTGATCTTTCTTTTTGTCTACAAATAAAATTAAAGCGAATAATTATTTTTTGTAAATTGTACTAGAATTTTATTTTGTATTTATTATATATTTTTGTATATAGTACTAAGTTTTGTATAATGTGTAGTTTGGCTTAAAGACTGGTAGGTGAGCAATATGTTGCAGGCACCTGTATGTGAACATGCCTTTTGTCGTACATGCATTAATGAATGGATAATTAGACAACCTACCTGTCCATTGGATCGTACACCAATTACATCTGCTCAGCTTAGAGCAGTACCAAGAATTCTTCGAAATCTATTGGCCCGCCTTTGTATTAGTTGTGATAACATTATGTATGGTTGTCAAGTAATAGTCAAGCTTGACAGTTTAGTGTCACATTTGGAGCAATGTGAATATAATCCCAAAAGACCAATGCTTTGTGAACAAGGATGTAGTCTTATTATTCCCAAAAATGAGTTGAAAGATCATAATTGTGTAAGGGAACTCAGAAATATTATACATTCGCAACAACAGAAACTTGCTGATATGAAACGTGAATTAGGTGAACAACAACTTCAAATAAATGAACACAAAAGGGAAATACATCTTCTAAAAGACTTTATGAGAGCATTAAGAGTTTCAAATCCTGCTATGCGTGCTATAGCTGATCAAATGGAAAGAGACGAAGTTGTAAGATGGTCTGCTACCCTTCCTAGAGCAAGAGTAACAAGGTGGGGAGGAATGATCTCCACCCCTGATGAATTGTTACAGGTACTGTAATTTAAAAATAAGTACTAATTATTATTAATTAATTCTAGCAAATAATAGAACATGACATTGTAGACAATGATAAAGAGAACTTTATCGGAATATAATTGTCCACCTCATGTAATTGATGAATTAATGGAAAATTGTCATGAAAGGAAATGGCCTCCAGGCTTGAAATCCCTTGAAACCAGACAGAGTTCTAGAAGACAATATGACAATTATGTTTGTAAAAGAATCCCTGGTAAACAAGCAGTGTTAGTTCTTCATTGTGATAATACACACATGCCAGAGGACATGATGGTTGAACCTGGACTAGTGATGATTTTTGCACATGGCATAGAATAAAATTTTATACCGATATACTGTGCATGCCAAGATATTTTGATGTCCATCTATTCTGTTGTTTGTTATATTCACCGTGACTAACCTTCAAGGTGCATGGAATATTTTTATACTTATGTGGAGATACTGGGATATTCGCATAATTTATCTTGCAATTAGTGCAGAATATCTTTCCAAAAGTATTGAAAGGAACAAACGACATGCCTTTTGTGATAAACAATTGTACAGACGCAATTGCCACATACAAAAATCTAATTGAATGTCTGGATCATTACACTGTGATATACTATTTCATTGAGAAAGTTCCTGAAATTGCATGATAAATAGTAAGCCATTTTTAGTCCTTTTGAGTAATTCCATGTACATTTTCATAAATTCAGTTGTTTGTTTGGCATCTGACAGATCCAACTATTTGTCAACCATTTCAGGAAATTTTTTACATATATAGAAGTCTGTAAGTGTTTTATTATAATGCTTTAGACAAGTAAGAAACAAAAAATATAGAAATTATCAATATGGTAATTGCTACTATTAAGATCTGAATGTGTTCTAAAAGATAAGTATCAAATGTCAGAATGAAGAATAATCTCTTCTTTTCTCAACGTTATTTATATGATTTTAATAAAACATCTCAAAGTGCGTACGACAAAATAAACATGCTATACAACGATCGTTTGAATAAATTAATATACTCTGAGCGAACACGGTCGTATATATCGTTTACAGTTTATAAGATAAGAATGCTATTTTCACAGAATAATTCGCAAATAATAATTTAAACTAAGAATGTATGATAATTAAATTAATAATTTCAAATTTTTTCAGTATCGTTTTCTCTTGAATTCGATTTTGCAAGAAGTATTTCTTGAGAAAAATAACCACTGATTAGTATATAGAGAACATTTGGTATTTTTAAATAAATATGTAATAACGTTTTAGTTTTTGTCTTTGCACAAATACAAAATAAGTTAGCTTCTCAAATTGCGTTATCTATCATCGAATATAAGATCTTCGCGTAACGCAGCTTCTTATCTCAATGCTCTGATATATGAGGAAATATTACATATTCTATTTTGGACATTTAACGTGTTAATCATGAGTTATGTTTACTTATAATTCTTTTTACCTTTATTTACACAACACATTTTTCAATAGCTTAAAAGCCTTACAATTTTACTACATTGAGTACTAAATAATGAGTATATCTCTTAAAAATCTTTTAATAAAAATTTTCATTTTACATCGGATTTGTTTTTACTTTTTATATATTTTATAACTAAATCCCGATAGCGAGAAAAGAACATAAAAAGTAATACAAATTTTTTTCAACTTAAAATAAGTGTAAGAAGGTTAAAAGTTTTGTAGTACATTAGGTTTTTTAGCACTCAATGCATTAAATGTTGAAAATTATTTTTGCCCGGAGCTTTCCTCAACGTGTGTACTCAGAGATTGTAAACAATTTTATATACAGGTTAATAGTTGTTATAACTATAATAAATTTGATTTTATCTATCGTAAGTCATTTGATATAATATAGCTTACTTTATTCTAATATATTCGCGTATGCTAATGCTACAGAAGTTTCAGGTTCCACTATAGGTGTGTCACCAAGAAGAATGCAATAAAATTAAATGACAAATTAAAAGGAGTACTGCATTCCCGCTATATTTGAATAATTTATAATTAAAAAAATGCATGCTGCGAATATTTTTAATTATATTACTTTATTTATTTAGCATCTTAATTTTTCTAAATGTTTCTATGTTTACAAAAAAGTCACAATTTTTTGGTGATATGAACTTATGACTTTTATTATGGTATAATATACTTTTCTTTGGTTGCGCATTACAATACATTCGGAATAATTATCATTAACATTTCGGTTTTACTTCAAAATCTTGTAATTCGCCTAATATGAAATGTAGTAAAATAGCTTATTCGAGTTATTAAATAACCATTGATGGATGCGTAATAGAGTATACGTTGTTCTATCTTCCACTATAAGTGGAGAAAACGACGTTCAGTCTTTTGTGCTTTCGAACGAGGTTATATACTTATCGAAAAATTTTTCTTGTACACTATTTCTCGAAAATTTGTATTAAAAGGCACGTTAAGATCGTTCAACAGTTTTCTCAAAATTTTAATACATCGATGGTTAAAAGCCTTGAGTTGTGGCACTTGATATAATTTAAATTTATTTTCGAGTAATTAGATACTTAATATAATAAAATAAACACTTTCATTAAAAAATGAACAGGTAACGTTGTATCTCTGAATCATTCTTTTTTTAATTGAGAAACATGCAAAAATTGATTGGAAGACTGTTAAAAAAAAGAATTGCAACGCTACATTAATTGACTTTAAGTGCACTTTTAAGTTCTTGAAAATTCTTATATTGTTGGACATACGCCCACAATAACTTGCCCGTTAGCACGTTCAGGACCCAGGTGAATAGGTCTCATATTGATATGAATGTTGCTGATGCACCCAACGTATTGTGCTTGCGAAGTACTTCCCCGTAATTTCGCCCCAAGTGACGGATGACCACCGATAAAGATCGGATGTCTCGACATTACTCCTACCACATTTTTACCGCCGATTCCTGGCATGGCTGCTTTATGGTCTACTGATAACAGTACGGCATTCTTCTGTTTAACAGCTGCATAACAGATATATAAATAGAAATATTATTTATTTTTTTTCATACCTTTCATTAAGAAAAAATAACATACTGAGAACTTTAATAAAATATTACCTCGAATATTATGCCAGTTGCCATCGCATAAGGAATTCGGATTCGTTGGTTCGAAAGAGGTCTCTATCGATCCTTTCGCTGTTTTGACAAGGAACTTTACAGTTCCATTAATTATTTCCAAGACCAAGTAATCCCGTTTTCCATGAACAGATAACAAGTGACCAGATGTTGAACGTGGTTTGATATCCATTTGAATATCAATTGTTTTCCCAACGGTGAATCTGTCCACTAGTGCCACACGATTAAGAATTGTTATTCACAGTTTCAGCAATGTTAATTTGATTATTTAAGAATATATACCTGCTCTGAAGAGATTGCTACCATTACCCGGGTAGAAGAATAATCCCGGTTCGACTCGATTTGAACATGAAATCACGCCTACTTTATTTGCGGGCTCTCCAACTGGTTGCCCATTTACCATGAAATTTCCTAGACATCCATTGAACGTATGATTCATACCCTGTAATTAATAAATAGTTTTCCATTAAAAATTGATATAAGTATACTTTTAAATACATAAGAACTTATATGGATAATTTACTTACAATCATGTTGAGAACTTTATTAGACATGTCTCGAAGTACTCCTCCTACATAAAATGGTGGACTAACGTTCATAGTTTCTGTTGTCCCTTGCGAATATCCGGTAACTGCTTCATCTTCGTCGACAATAAGCTGTCCATAATTTTGTTGTCTTTTAAATATTACGATGTGCCATTCATTGTCATTTATTTTCTTCTCGCTGGTCAATAGGGCAGGTCCACTTCCACAATCAAATTTGTAATGTACCTTAAAGAAAATACAATATTCTAAACAAGTAAACACAAGAAAAGGATATTTGTGTTAACAATTATGCTTCGATGTTAAATGAACATGAAAACAAACAAATATGCATAATCTCGAATATTCTTTTTAAATCTGTTTAGATTATTTAACAGTTGGACAGATACTAAATTTTATATTGCACTTCGATACTTTACCTTTCCATCCTTAATATACACAGCAATCAAATTCTGGTTAGAAAGATCCGAAGTATAGAAAATAATTCCATCGTCAGCCATCGTTTTAACATCGATTTGGAAATCATAGTCATCTTTGTACCTGCCGTTCAAAGACCTATATTCCAATCTACTGTTTATCGCAGTACCTAGAAACGATATCATTCTTTTATTAAAATCGTTTTTCTTTCTTTGTTTTCTTTAAAATAACGTTAAGGTAACGCACCGAATCGCCAAGCGTTTTACTTATTAAAATTGTTTTTCTTTCTTTGTTTTCTTTAGAATAACGTTAAGGTAACGCACCGAATCGCCAAGCGTTTTCCATTGCAGGATCTGTAGCCGGATAATATGGTAACCGACATTGTCCAACATGGTACGGAGTTGTTCTCTGAGTCGAAGCAGTAGTTTCAGTAGTTGTAATATCATCCTCTTGATGGTGACCGCGTCCTTCCAACGGTGGTTCCTCTTCATCCGTTATCTTATCTATATCAACTTCGACTATACCTAACGAAATTAAATCGTAGGTTACAGATTAATTTATTTCGCTATACTTATTCGTACTATCTATGACACTATACTCACTAATCTGGGTAGATACTTCGACAATGTCGTCTGGACTTTCTGTGGGCAATAGAGGAGGTGGTGGAATATTTGGTTCTGGCCCAAATAGAGATGGCGCAGCTGTAAATGGGTATACGTACATTAAAATAACGCTTGCGAGCTTGCAGCTCGTTAATTATTGTCTAAATATTAACGTTAATCCCTTACATGATGAATCTCCCAATTTGCACTTTCCAAGGAGTGCGTGAGGTCTCTCCGTTGTATTCGCGAAATTAATTATAACTCCGTTCAATGTTGCATCTCCGATACACCCGACAAATGGTGTCATGGCGCCGGTTTGTGGGATACCAAAGGCGGCTGGTAAACCACCGATATATAAACTGCCATAAGGTATATGTAATACAGGTGGTTCTAAATCTGAACTATAATTCTTCGTATCGTCGATGTCGAGCTTGAGAAATTCGCGTAAGTGGGTAGCAGTAATCACATGCCACTCGTTGTCATTAAATTTGATGCCCGCAGAATTCGTTCGCAGTTCTTCACCCTGACTATTGAAGACAAGAATACCATCGATCAGCGATAAATAGCTAACCACACCTTTCTCATGATCAGTCACATAGAAGATCAGACCATCGTTTGCTAACGTCTTGAACTTCAGATTCACTTGAAGAACGTCCGGCACGGAGATATTATGCCATCTCACGTAGCCGGGTGCGTTCTCTTCGAAAGATACCAAACTTGCAAACTAAACAAAGAAAACAAAGGGGGAGAGTGCAATTAAATTACTTTGGTGACTACAATTGTAACGGATATCAACACGATTTCTGTCTAGAATGATGGTAAATTTATTGTATCGTACGCCCTTCCAAAGTTTGTTAAATTAATTATATGGACCATATGGATCGTTTGATATCGATTTTATATCGAAATATTTGTAAATCAATAAACAGAGAACGTGTAAGTCATAAAAAATGTTACATTACCCGTACTGGACAACCAGGAACCACACCGAAGGCTTGAATGTTGCGTGTCAAGTCGACTATTGTATCTAGAATGACCACATCGTCGATGCAACCTTCGAAACCATCGTTGGTCACAGGCTCGTAAGGATGTTTAGCATTCGGTGGATATCCTCCGAAATAAATGTTATCCAAGGAAACCAAGGTCTTGCTATTTCCTTCCGCTTTAGTTTTCACCACATCCACACCGTCTACCTTCAGAACGCCTGTTTTCTCGAACCTAAGAGCCTCCATGTTGTGCCAGTTTCCATCGTTGAATTTATTCATGGACATCAAACTGGTCGCTCCATCTCCGAGGTCATACTGATAAAGTACGTGACCATTCCTCATTTCCAAAGACAGGAATTGTTTGCCTTTACCCATCAGATAGATCAGCCCATTTTCTGCGAACGTCTTGAAATTCAATTTAATGCTGAACTTCTTACTATCCGGCGAGATCTGGAAATCTCTCTTGTTCAAAATAGCGTAGCCATGTTTATCGAACCTATAACCAGTACTAGGTTGGAAGTTAATTAATTTATCCCTCTCGAGCGCTATCTTTTGATTATTTTCTCCATCAATGAAATTCCAGAAGGAGACCGGTGTATCTTCGCCTATCACAAGTTCTTCCATCTCACCCTCGAACGAGGACGCAGTTACAGCGTTCTGCATATTGAAGGACGTCGGATAACCACCCACGAATAACTTCGAGTGTTCTTGATCTACGTTAAATATCGAATACGATCCAGGTAAGACATGTCCTTTTTCATAGAATCGATCTTTACCCTCGCCGATGTCCTCACGGACAATTAGTTTTACGTTCTTGCCGGTCCTCTCCACGATTATCTGACGCCACACGTTATCCGATACGAACTTATTATTGATAATTTTCTCAGGTCCCGATCCCAAGTCCATGATGAGTACTGGGTAGCCGCTTTCGATCATCAACGCCATGAAATCGTGGGTCTTTGAGCGCGGTAGTTTAGCATTTTCTTCGTTTCCTAGATAAAGGAGGAAACCATTGGTCGCTTTCGTTCTGAAGTACAGAGATATCTTGGTAGACGTAGCCAGTAGAGGAAGGTTCTCAGGATTCTTTAATTCAAGAGTAGTGTTCCTGTAGAAAGTTAGGCCGACTTTGAAACGGTCTGCCAGTTCTCTGGCGTTCGCGACCTTGATCTTCAACGCTTCGATCTTGCTCTGCAAGTCATTACCATTGGTATCTATCGTCTTCTGATTTACATTCAAACTAGTTAACAATTCGGTAATATTTGGAAAGAATTTGTTCACAACGTCCAGATGCTTCTTCGCTTGAGATATATCACGAATCGATTCTGAGATGTTTTTCGACAGTTGCTTAGTTTCCTTCAAGTCTTCCGGAATTTTATCGACAATACCATTCATGATGTTGACGGAAAGCTTAATGTCCTTCTCTACTTTCATAACGTCGTCCATAGCGTTTTGCGTCACTGCTGAAGAAGGAGATTGAATACTAGCAAGGATCTTGTCGATGTTGTCCAATAGTTCCTTGTTGCGCTTATTTTGATCGAAAATGAAGGCAGCATCAATTTGGGCAATGTCCAAGTCTTCTTCGGGTTTTCCCATTGTTTTTGCCAGAGTATCATTGGCTGATTCCAATAATTGTAAAACTGCATTTTTCGAATTCGTCATCCTCGCTTTGATACCATCCGACATGGTGGTTGCATTTATCGCTGCATCATTGGCGTCGTTTGCAGCTTCACGAGCATCCTCAATTGCTGTTCCAATATTCCTATAAGCTGAAACAGCTTTCACAGCATCGGTGTTCCTCGTGTCAGTCAAAAGGCTATCCAAATCTAAGGATCGATTATAAAGATATTCTGCATGTTCGTTTGCATTATTTACTGGATCAGTCAAGTCTATCAACAGTTGATCATTTTGCAGAATCGTTGTATTTAATATTTCTGTGGAATCGTCTATTGCGTTTTCTCTCAATATTTCTACGTTATAATCCGCTTCGTTGAAATACTGACTGGCATTTCTGTTTAATTCTTCCCCGGCCATTAAATCTTCATTCACTTCTGCAGTAGAATTCTTCACGACGTCAAAGTTTCCGGTCTCAGCTGTAAGTCTATTCTCTTGATTGAATTTATCGACTAGATTAGCTAGGTCCTGAACCTTCCATGTGATTTCGAGGAGGTCGTCCAATTTATCGGTCACATTTCTAACCTTGAGACTGAGGCTATCTGTGGTCGAAGACAAAACGTCAACCGGTATGTTGTAGTCGAGCATTTCCGACACCAGAATGTTAGCCTGATCCGCCTGGTCGGTTGCATGGTCCCGAAAACTAACAAATGATACTCCCTGGATTTTTTTTAGAATGTCTGCAGCCTCTTTCAATGCGCTGTCTACTTTAGCGCCAGTGTCCAATTCAATATTCAAAGCTAGAGATTCTACCTCTGAAATTGTCGAGTTGACTAGCTTTATCTCCTTGATCACATCTTTGTCGAAGAAGTTCATATCCTCCAAAGTATTCTCTGCGGCTAGTTTCCATTTCACGCTCTCCTCGGCGCTGTAATCGATCTCGCGCTTCTGGTTCGCAACTTCCGACCCTAGTCTCTTCACCTCGTTTTGCAGAGGCAGGAAGTTTACTCTGTTAGGATCTAACAGCTTCACTTCGGGATACAGATCATTTACCGTATCATTGACAAATTTCAGTCTCTGATTAGTGAAGTAGCTCTCAGCCATCGTATTAAATTCTTCGAAAACAGGATTCAACATGTCCGCCAATTCGTCTGTAACATCCAACAAGTTTCCAGTGCACGAGTTACAGACGAAGCAACCTTGCCCCGGTATTAATACGTTCCTATATGGACAGTGATCGCATTTCTCTCCGATAACACCTGGCAGGCAACTACACTGTCCAGTGGTGGTGTTACAAGATACCCCGACGGAGTATCCAATGTTACATTCACAGGAGGTGCATCCTTCCGGTCCATAGTCCCAGTATCCTGGGATGCATTGATCGCATCTACGCCCAGTGACACCAGGTTTGCATTTACATTGACCCGTGACCTCGTCGCACTGACTGCTATCAGAAGCAATTCCACAATCGCATGCTTTGCAACCCTCACACGTATCGTAACCATAGTGATCATCTGCGCAACGATCACACTGTTCTCCGATTACGTTCTCGCGACAGAAACATTGGCCCGAGTAGCTGTCGCAGTGCTCCATTCCGCATTCTTTGCATAGGCAGTTACGGCAGTCTTTTCTCTCAATAGCGTCGCCATAGAATCCTGGTGCGCAGAGGTTACAAGCTTCCCCATAGGTGTTATTTAAGCAATGTAGACACTCTCCAGTTCTAGAATCGCAGGAACCGATTTGGTTGGTATCGATATTACCGGAACACTTGCATGGTTTGCAATACTCGCCGTATACTTCCGGGTTCCCATAGTAACCTGCAGCGCAAGCCTTGCAGCGAGCACCATAATAACCAGGAAGACAATCGCAGCTTATCTTAGTTCCTTCTTCGTTCACCTCGCAGCCAGTGGCGAAATTATTGGACGCGACGGGTAAAGGACAGGCACAAATGAGACAATCGGTGGGGGTTCCCCCGGTAGCATTTCCATAGTAGCCTTGCTCGCAAAATTCGCAATGATCTCCCGTTGTACCATCTTTACAGTTCTGCAGTGAGAAAGTTGCTTAATAGTCTTGAGATTTTTGCATGCAAAGTGGAGTACATTTTCTAAGTTGAATCTTAACAAAACTTTGTGAGCGAACAAAGAAATAAATTTAACACGATAACGCAGTCTCGCAATGCTAATGTAAGCTTTTGTTAATTGGCTTATTCAACTTAGAAAAGGGATTTAAGTAGAAGATTTATGCAATTTAGATTCGTTAGTAAAATACCGAATTATCTTACCAAACATATGCCAGTGTCAACGTCGCAGGTATCCGCGTGTCCATTACACTCACACCGAACACAATAGCCCCCGTGAGGTCCGGAGTCTACTCTGTAATAACCTGGAGCACATTCCTCGCAGGAAAGTCCTTGATAACGTGGTGGACATTGACACTGTTCGACACTACTAGCTGGAACGTTATACTGAGGTGAATAGGTCTCCGTTGTTATATCCAATGTTACGTATGATAAAGAAGCAGCTATGCTGGGGTCCCAGTATGTAGCACGGATGAAGATTCCTCGAAGATCCTCGAGAACTACCATCAACTGTTCCCTCGTGGCGCTAAGACGATTTAAAGTCAAAAAGTTTGTTTCAATTAATTCTAAAGACGCTTGGAAGTTCGTGAATGATGGTGGTTGTTCTTCGGCATAGTAGAATAATGTCGTGTCGACACCTTGGAGAATCACATCAGGCGCACTAACAGCACTACCAAACGGTCCAGTGCTATAATAAACTGTGTAATTCAAGAATCCTCCATAGGAGGTCAACTTTTTCCCCAAATAAGTCTCTGGTGCTGAGAGGTACACAACCTTTCCGGACGTATCATTATTAATGAGATCAATTGCAATACTAGACGAATTGAACTCGTGTGGAATCGTTGCCAAGAACGTTATATTGCTACCTTTCTCATTAGACAGAGCCAACTCCCAATTAGTCAGATCGGTCATGTGGGCTCTATACAAGTTTGCTGACACGCATCTGGTGGTCTTTCCAAAGCAGAAACACTTCGTACAACCTTCCTCATTGTTCTCCTGGATATTGAAAGTGCCTTCCTTGCACACGTCACAGGCTAATCCCTGAACGTTTTCCTTACAGAAACATTCTGCTGTATATTGATCACAGATATTCGCAGTGGTCCCTCTGATATCACAGTCGCATTTCTCGCAGTATGGAAATTGAGAGTAACCAGGTCGACACTTGTCGCATTGTCTATCTACTACGTTCTCTTTGCATCTGCAGCTTCCATCCAGAAAATCGCACTGCAGGTCTCCATCGACTACTCCCAGAGGAGAACAGTTGCATTCTTCGCAGCCGATGATCGGATGGAATCCATAAGTTCCCACTTCACACTGATCGCAACGCTCACCCGTGACTCTTGATGGACAAATGCAGGCACCTGTCTTTGGTTCACAAAGAGCTATACTAGGGCAATTGCACGGCTTGCAGTTAGGGAAACCGTAGAATCCCGTTTTGCAAATTTCACATCGTCTTCCAATAATGTTTGGTTTACACGGACATTGTCCGCCGAATTTTTCGCATTCGAAGCTTATGGTTCCATTAATGTCGCAGTTACATGGTAGAGCACGGTTGTTGTAATTGGCTGTCAAGGAGAAAATCGAATCACGGCAGAAGCCTTCTTCGGTAACGTTAATGTGGAAATGATTGTAACCGCACTTTTTGATGAATTCCTTTGTCTGATCAAATTGAATCTTTTTCAGAACCTTTTCGTTGTACTGGTCTGTTGGAATAACTAGGATATAGTCAAGCCAGATACCATTGCCAACACTCTCCTTGAAGGTGATCATGAAGTTCTCGATTAATTGGAATCGAACATTACCGTCAAGTTGTTTAACCAAACTGCGACATCCGCTATTGCTAGGACAATGAGGAACAGACATCTTCGCTTCATAGAATTTACCATTTTGTACTAACACGTCAAGCTCGTACTCTGGATAGTCTGGTTGATAATATTGCACAACAAAAGTATAATCTCCAGGCTGTAAGACTTTTGCGTGAATATCTACCATTGTATTTTTGTCATCCAGATAGATTAATTTAGTAGTATTATCGTAAATACCAAAAGGCCTATTTTCGGATTCAGATACTGTGCTGTTGGTTTCGAACTCAATTTTTTTGGCATCTGCTGCACCCGGGAATTGTCCTTTCACGCATTTTCCATCTTTTCTAACGCATATCGATTTTGGTTTGACATAATCCAATGACCATTGATAATAAGGAATGGCGACAACAGAATCTATAGCTACATTCGAAGTAGGTTCTCCAGTTAAAATTAAGCTGATATAATTCGTGGGAAAGTTCATTGTAGCTACTCTGCCATAAGTGTCAGTCACTACTTGTCTGCAAATACTGGTGTACTTGCAAGGATACAGAGTAGCCTTTCCTTTACCAACAGTGTTTGCCTCTATGAGAAGGGTTGACGTAGAATTCTCATCCTTAGGTGTCACATAAGTTACCAGTAGGACATGTGGCTCTGGTTTCGAGACTCTTAGATCGAAATGTATTTCTTCCTGTCTTTCATTAATCAACGGAATTTTATCTATATTAATTTCACGCAGTATATCTGTATCGGTAAAATATTCAGTTAGAGGAATTCTAACATTGTTTTCGTTCAAGAACCCACCAGCTCCATGAACAGAATCAAACATCGTCAAATTAGGATAACCATAGTGTCTACAGAGTCCTTTATAACCAACTTCGCAAGGAATATTAACATCTTGAGTTAAGATGGTTGCCTCGTAATATTCGGATGGAAGAAGCACAAAGTAATCGAGGAAAAGACTCTTCTTGGTAGCAATACTAACGGACCAATGTCCTGGATTCATAACCATGGCCGAAGGAAGGTTGCCTTGAGGTCCTGCGACAGTTACAAACGACGGTTTTACGGTTGGCTTGAAATTGACTTTAAACTGCTGCTCCACTTCTGATGGATTTTCGGGGGTAATAGTAATCGTTCCAAGGATCGGTTCATTATTTGGATTCACATATTTAAGGACCATTCTATAGAGAGACGATTTCTGAATATAAACATTCAAGATGATCTCGTCCCGAAGAGCAGAAAACACTGCGTATCCTTTCCAGCTGTATCCTGGGAAGTGTTCTTCAGTGAAACCATAACGAACCGGACTATTGCTAGGCGTTTTTCCATTTTCCGCTTCATACTGGAACTGATGAAGTGTCGGAAAATAGTGGGCTTTTAGGGGTTCCTTGCATGTCAGACCTGTAACTCGTGGTTGACACTGACATTGACCCGTTAACTTATCACACACAGAATTGACGGAACCGCCAATATCACAAGCACAATCTAAGAAAAAAAAATATACATGATTTATATACATTGAGAAATAATTGTTGCCACTGATACATGATACATGAATTATGTACCTGTACAACCATAGAAATTGCTCTCTTGAAGATTGTATGTACCATCCACGCATTGATTACAACTTCTGTCTGTTACCCCGGGTTTGCAGATACATTGACCAGTCTTCGTGTCGCATTCACCAATATTTCCAATGACACCAGGTATGTTACATTGACATTCTTAAAATGAAATAAAGTAAAAGTTTATAATTACGTATTGTGTTACATTTTTTTAACGTATTTTGAAAGCTTAGCTGTTCCATTTACCTTCGCAACCTTGAGGATTATAAGGCTGCAAATTCCAATAGAGTGGTTTACATTGATTACAGATTCTACCCTCAACGCGGTCTTTACACTGACAAAGTTCCCCGGCAGGTAAAGTGCCACACCCCTGGAAAGTTTCCACAACACCTGCTGGGTCACAGTTACAACCCTCACAAGTGGGGAAGTTGTAGAAGCCTTCTTTACACTGATTGCATCTTGCACCATTGAAATTCTCACGACACTGACATTTACCCTCCGCGTCACAAGATGCGCCGATTGAACCGTGACTGTCGCAGTTGCAAGCTAAATGATTAGAACAGGATTATCAGTGTTAGGTATTTATAGAGCTAGGAGTACAATAAATTTCAATTTATTTGTGCGTCGATAATATTTGCATGTAATTCAAAATTGAATTACATGAAGATAGAAGCTTGAAAAGTGACCTTGAACGGTTAACACTTTTCCTTTATCTTAATATATGTTTTATGATGAAAGCTGGGAATTAGCCAACATCAAATTGCCAGGTTTCTCTTGTTACAAAAGAGTAGGGGAATACTGCAAGCATGAGCTTTAAATGAGTAACAGTTATAAATAGAAATCGTTTGTACCTATACATTCTGGATACATGTAATACCCGGGGCTGCACTGCTCGCACGTTCTTCCAGCAAAATTAGCCAAGCAAGAACATTTTCCGGTAGCATCGCAGCTAATAGTGGATGATCCTATCGTACTACAGTTACAAGGTCTGCAATTTGGATATCCGTAATATCCACTGATGCACTGGTCGCATCTTGGGCCACCATACCCTTCTTTGCATAAGCAAGATCCGTCTGACTTATCACAAACACCAGGCTTGGTTCCACGTGTATCACAATTACAGACTGAAAAAATAATATTAAATTTTGATCCACGTATAATTTAATTTGGAATAATGGTATTAATAGTTGATATAATAATATGTTGAACACTCACATGTACATTGAGGGTAGTTGTAGTAGCCATCTTCACAGATATCGCACGTTCTTCCACCGTAATTATTCTTGCAGGTGCAATTGCCAGAAAGTACATCACAAACCTCGTTGAGGGAGCCCAAATAATTACATTTACAGGCTGCCAATTGTATTATTATTTATAATACAAGTTACGACAGTAGCAAAGTTTATAACGATTAATTATGTTACTTACGTAAACATTCGGGAAAGTTATAATATCCTTCTGCACAAAGGTCACAATAATGACCGGCATAGTTCGACTTGCAGGGACAAGATCCATCGATGGCCTTGCAGTGATCTCCATCGGTTCCATTCCTATGACACTGACAAGGCACGCAGTTTGGATACCCATAGTATCCAAAACTGCAACTGTCGCAATTTTCTGAAGTGTACTCCTTTCGGCACTCGCATTTGCCAGTGGCGTCCGCGCAGTTTCCGGTCGAGTAAAACACGTCGCATTGACATGCTATTAAAAGACAAAAATTGATAGCATGAAAGATACCCTCTAATATCTTACATTAATAACATTATTGCTTTAATGAGGTAATAGCTTACGTTGACAAACATCAGTCGCGTTCAAGGGTTTATCTCGCGGTCTGTAGAACTTCGGTTTACAGCGATTGCAGTTGATCCCTTCAGTGTTGTCTCGACAGTTCTGACACACACCGCCTCCCTCGTAGTTGTTGTGTATATCCAGGGACAAGTGTTTCTCGTCCACTTCCGGATCGTATTCGCACTCGTCCGAGTGACCGAAACAGTTGCAAGCTGTACAGGAATTTTAGGCTTCATGTAACAAAGCGTAACTCTGAATGCATAGGGAGCAGCAGACAAAACAGTTAGGTAAAAAGTATCAGAATTATTCTCACGTTCGCATGTAAACTTTTTAGACGCAGTGGACTGCCGCCACTTCTTTTGCTCAAATCCTTTGCAACAGGTAGCGCATTGTGGTCCACAAGTGTTATGCTGACATCTGCAAACCAGCTTCTTTGGCATCTTTGGATCCATTATGTCACAAGTATCTGCATGGCCATTGCACATGCACCGACCACCAATACTGATATCTTTGATGGAATAGAAGTACTAGAATACAATTAAATCATTCTTGTTTATTTATCATTCGATTATTACGATGTAACTTGAACTTCAAAGACACTTACTCTCCTGGTCACTGTGGGATCCTCTCGTACTAACGACATCAAATGACCCAATAAATTTTTCGTCCTCAAAAAACGAAACCGGACGTTCGTCGCTCTGGTCCATTCTTGCAAGAGAGTGGAATTGAAGTAATGTTTGGCGGACGGACGGTTATTCAGAATCGAAATCGGTATTTCACCGCCCTCCAGTGGCACGATTTGAGAGTATTCCGTGGTACAAATGACACTGTCGTCTCTAGTGATGGGATTATAACTGTCCACACCGAAGTAAGTCAAACAGTCGTTGGCAGTGTCGGAGAAGTATTGCCAAGGAGACCAGGTTTTCCCATGGTCTTTCGACTTTTCGAGTACCCAGAGTCCGGGTCTGGGAGATTTAGCCATTTTTATGTACACGTATGCTACGTGAAACTCCTACGGAAGAAATTGTTTCAGTTTCTTCGTTCATTTCATTTATCTTTCTTGTCATAATCTAATTCGATTAGATTTCGATTAGGCCAAGATGGGTCTCTATCTTGCGAAAGAATAATTGACAGCTGCATCGCGAGAATAAATTAGAGCTTGCGTTATTCTATGGAAAATGTGATTCAAGTTCGATGCACGAGACCTGCTTCCTCTCTGAGAGGCATAACACGAGAGTATGCAAGAAAAAGTAAGGACTGAGAAACACATGTGTCGACCACGGGTTTTTGGAACATCAACTTCGTGCCTTCCTTCGAAATTCCCAGACACGTGGTCGAGAGTGCACGAGAGAAACGTTAGCACGATGTAAATGAGTCCTTCTGAGAAGCTATTTAGCAGAAAGACAATAACCTCGAGGCTGCAACGAAAATATGCATCTACAAACTCATTTACAATTGCTGCTTTAAATATAACACTTTTACCCTACGTTGCTTCCTTAATCGTTTTTTAAATCTATTTTTTCCTTCATCTTATTCTCTTTTTTTTTATTTCGTTCAGACACACTGATTAAATTAAACATGGATTTCGGTGGATTTAAAATTCGAATATTCGAATCTCGGATCGATCGAAGGAATAAAAATAATATCTATTCTCTGTACCATTAACCCGCTCCCTAAAACCCGTGTTTTCTATTGTCCTCCGGAAATGATGCGGAGATAATTCTTTCCCGCTTTGCAGGAAAACGCCTACTACGTGATAAAGCAATTTGTTACAGATAAAATAGTTATTCCACAGGCTCATTGTTTCCTGCTGCTGTCACTTCTCTCCCTTCCTTTCTATTTGCTCATTTTTATTTCTTAACACTAGAACTACCGATCTTTAGTGGGCACCTAATTATAACTATGCACAGATTATAGTAATTTCAAGCGATACGATGAATACGAGTGAATATATCGATTACAGTTCTTTCTTAATACGAGTTGATACCAATTTTATTCTTAAAGCAGGTGTACGTGTTCGGTGATTGCAAAAATCAAAAATTCTGGGACCAGTCATTTTGACTGGGTTGGTAGTTCTAGCGTTAAGCATTGGGCACTCGATCGAGGAGACATGGAAAAATAAAATGGCCGATAAAGTATATCCTTGGAATCCATTGTTGCTAATTCCTGAGACGGGAATGGGGCTTGTAAAATTGACGTGTAAAGCGTTATGCCGCAATTTGCAAATCTTTTTAAGCTTACTTGTCCGAGATTAATCGTCAGGTTCACTTCGTTGTACTTCATGCCTCTGGAGAGAGGTGGCGATTGCCACCAGGTTTCCATTCCATCGACCGCATATTCCGGTGGATGCCTCTTTTCCGGGTTGTCCGCATCGCAGTAATCGCATACCTGGGTATCGACGGCATGTTATCTCTCAAATTCTCAACATTCGGCTACAAAATGGTCGAACCGTAGGAAAAATGGTGGATCAAGCTCCTTGAAACTACAACGCGCAACACACATCTCGCCTTGGATCTTTAAATGTCGAATATTTATATCTAACAATGAGAAGTTCAACGACCTAGCTTCTTCAAGATCTGGTGTATAATAAACACAAGTCGTAAATGCGTTATAAAATATCAATATGACGAATATGATGTTAACGATTAATTAAATTCTTCGCGCTCTGTGTTCGACTTTCGGAAAAATGCGAATAAAATCGAGAGATTCCCATAGATGGATGAAACTATTTTTTTTCAAGAATCTTTGTAGGACACTCGAGTTAGTTCGACCGTTCGGAATTTGGAAAGACAAGATGGTCCAGTGTTATCGTGAGGTCACTGTTATCAAAGGCTCCTTATCGGCCCTCTCACTTTTAGTCTACATGGCATTTTCTCTCGCCCGCATAAATAGATACACGTAATGCCATAAAACAGACTGGCCATTGACCATTCGAGGGATCCTGGATTTATGAATCGTCCAATAATATCAATTACTCGACGACCAACGCGTGGAACAACGAAATATCGAGGAAGATGAACATAAAACGACAAGAGGACTGCGGTTTATAAAATAACAACAGATCGGTTTAACGTTACGCGACTTCGAAATCGGTCATCTAATTTATTATTTCCGGTTTGATTAAGAGAACCCGGTTCTGCGATACGTTACCAAGAAACAAAACGATTAACACGATGAAGATAAAATAATCGAAACGAATTCAGCGTCCACTACAGACCTACATAAACTTTTCGACAGATCATCAGACATGTCTGTAACTTCGTGAAAAGTTAATACATTTTTCATTTTTAATAAGAAAGTAAGAGAGCAGCTGTGCTTTATAGGCGATCTGCAGGAATTCTTTGTTCGAACACAACAACAGACTGTCCTCACGACAATATTCAGGGATAATTTTCGATGAAGAGGGCTGCGATTATCCTCTCGGATTACAGCTAGAATCTGCATTCAGCGTTATAGGGCTCCAAGAAATCTTATTCCTCCGTTGGAAGAAACTAAGAGCCGATAAAATGACATTTACTTGATAGCATAATCAATTACTCTGAATTTGTTACGATACTTCGTAGAATCTAACGACGATTAACGATATCAGAGGTGTAAATTATACTAAATGTTTACGAATTCGTATATATTAATTAATGTGGTAATTGCGAAACAAATTCTGGTAGATTTATTCGGACGATCGCACACGACAGAAATAATTATTTAAAGCGATCTCGAGAGAAAAATAGCTGAATTATGACACATAGCTTGTCTTGATTATTATTTGCATTAATAAGTCGATTAATGAAACGTATGATTTCATTCACGCGTCTTCGTATAAGCAAATAGTACAATCTTTCCTTATCGCAATTCCAAGAGTGATATATTAGTACTCTTACACTAATTTCTATAGTGCACGGTATATCACACGAAGAGGAAAATGCTTCAGCCAAGATGTTAAAAATATAAATTGTATCATTAAAATAACGATCTGCGAAAGCAGATTAGGATTCTTTTTATTGCTCGTAATTTTTATATACTTTCTACACCGCTATCAAGAAAAAAGAAGGAAAGGAAGTAGTTGAGTAAGCAGTCGGTTGTCTAAAAATTGATAAACTCTTGGACTGAAAGGACCAAATATAGATAAAATTGATTCGAGACCGCAACACAGTTTATTTCAGCTAACCGACTCGGAGCAAGCGACGTGCTTTCTAAGATAAATATTGAATACATAACTGTCTTGATAACACTCGAACAAATGAACACGAAATTTATGAGATATTACCAATAACTATCCTAGATTTACGAATATTATTACTATGCAATTTCCAAAGATAAATCAAACTTGATAATTAAGATAGAAATTCGTTTAAAGAGCCTGCTATGGATTGCTCGTTTTATCTACCTCTCACTAGCCTAGAGCGACTTCTTATTCGCGAAAATCACTTTGTAATATCGTCTTTATTAGTTACAAGGCACAGAAGAAACAAAAATATAGGAACAAGAGACGTGAACGATCGAAAATGATCGTTCTCCTACTGAAGACATAAAGAAAGAAAGAATACAGAGGTATACCGACCTGACCCTGTATCAGATTTATGTCCTCGTGCTGATCAGCGTTCGCGCCGACAAGCTTGCAATAGAGTTCTGGGCCGGGGGTGTCGACGCCACACGTGGCTGACGCGATGATCTCCTTGCCCTCAGCTAAATTGAAATACGGTGGCGTCAGGATTTCATTTCTCGTTTGGTGGACCAGCAAGCTGGCCAATGAAGCGACCAGCAACCACCTCGCCATCCTGACAGTGGACAGATTGAGCCCGCCACCGTCGGCACCACTGATGGGATTCGTCCTTTAATGCAGCGTGCTCTCTCGAAACTATCGTCGCCCTGTCTATTTCCCCTTTCCTCTTTCTTCCTTTCTTTTCTTCTCTTTTCCTGTCCCTCTCTCGCTCTCGTTCTCTCTTCGGGAGAATGCGGCGAGAGAGACGCCGAAATGCTGATGATGCCTGAGCGGCTTCTCGGTTTAGACTGACAGGCCGGAGGTCATCAAGGACCGGCAGTCTGTGGTAGAGGGCCGGTGGGGGTGGTGATTCTAGAAGGATGGTCCACACACTTCGAAACCATATGCCATTCCGTATCCCTACACACGTGCATGCTGTTTCTGCCCAACATAGCAGGCTATTGTCTACTCTCTCTCGATCCTCGAGCCTACTCGATCACCACTTTGCGTCTATTCGCAAGTAAACGAAAGGAATAGCGTTCGTTTCAGATGTTCAACTGCAGAAATTTTGGGATACATAATGGATTCTCGGAATTAGATTCATGCTCAGGTTCGCAGTTTTAGGGATAGGTCTGAATGATTAACGAATTCTCTTTCAGGAATTATTTGTTGCGTCTTTCTCGGAGATATCTGGTGAGAGAAAAAAAAGGTATATGATTGAGTGGGATGTCGTAAATAGAATTTTCGAATGTTCGACTTTTTATTTGCTACGAATATTCGTCTCTGTACAATATCTCGTTATTTTGAAATAACGATGTTTAAATTACTGCTTCATCGTTTAATCGATGCAACTATTAAATAGTATAGATTTTATCACACAGTCGCATTGCTTTTCGTTGATAAATAATGAGCAAGAAAGACCTAATGGCACATACGTTTGACTAAGTCATTGACGAGATCTCTTTGACCTGCTTCGAGGCTTCTTAATCTTGTTTTACTTTGTTATATCTATAGTAAATAGCGGAAAACATAATACTCGAGCTTAAAATCACAGAGATAATAAAATTTCCTAGTAGTAAACTGTCCGCTGAATCCATCCATATAGTAAATACTCTCGCTGTAAATGAAAATCGATGTTTTTATTGGACTCTCATAGAATGATAGGTATTTTTTGACTTACTTAAGTTAGTAAATGCAGAGATAAACCAAGTAGTCGGTGATACGGTATCCGCATTTTTCGCTCGTAGAATTGCCAGTAATTGAATAACCTTACTTGAGACAGATATAGGTGTGCATAATGGCTATTAATTACAAAATAATTTAAAGAATTACTATAAGTTACGAATTAATTGTTGTTAATTTATTGTTAATTGATTAACTAACCGCCAAAATCGTAAGAACGACTTTTGGAATAAGTTGCATTGCAAAAGAAATACTTATACTAATGTACAACATTGAGACTAGAACTGAAAATGTATTTATTTTATTTAAATACTTTAAAACTAGAAAGATCAAAATATATTCCTGTAATAGGATAACAGGATACTCCAAATAAGATAGTATTGAATAACCATTTGTAAAATTATAACTAGCCATCACTGTATAGCTGGAAGAAATATAAATTGAATTAAGTTCACTTATATAAAATTGAAATTTATTTAATCATATTTTTTTTAGTTAAATTAAAATACAAAAATTAATGTATTATAAATACTGGATGAACTTACCTGGTTAATTCTAATAAAAGACCTACAATTGAAATTTGATCTGCTGATTTAGAAGTTAGTAAATTTAAAATTTGTGGAATCTTTAGTATGAAACACATGCCTATTGTTATAAGGCTTAAAAAATCTGAGAATTGTTGCAGTAACATATTTTCAATTATTTACCTAATTTTTTGCAAGTATACCTGCAAGCACATTATATGATAATTTCAGTTGTATTTTCAGATGTTTCTTTATTATATAATTCAGTTTTATATCAAATAAAAAATAATTACTACTTTTTAATTAGATATTTATTTATAATATAATAGCAAAAAAAAAAAAATAGAAAAAAGAAGTTAAATGTAGAATAGAAAAAATATGCAATGTCATATTAAACTCATATTTAACATATAATTTTACAACTTTTATTTTAAAAAATTTGGCATTTTTACAAACTATTTTAAACAAGCTGTTTCGCATTATTTGATCACTTTAAAAAAATAATTATATGAAGATAAATCATTTTTTAATGTAAATTTAATTAGTACTAATTTGTTAACCTGTTTTTGATATTTAATCTTCATTGACACTTTATTTGTGTAAGAAATATCACAACCACACTGTTGACGTATATTTGTCTGTATAGATGCGTATATCTTACAACTACAATGGCAACCATTCACGCACACCTGTGACATTCTTAGCAATGCTTCACATTTGCATAATCATAATTGCAGAAAATATACACACATAAATTATTAGTTACAATTCATGATTGTCAGTTGAAGAAATGTTTACCCACTCGGTAGTGCCATCGACACCTTGCCTATCGGTATTTAGTGAATTTTCATCTAGGAACTTTTTAAAATATTCCATGTACAACAACATTAAAAAGATAAACGGAAGAATAGTAATATAATAAATTTAAAAATCAGAGGAAAATCGTAAATAATAACAATAACAAATGCAATCAACACATAACGTGTAAGAAATAAAATATAAATATTTAATATGATTCTATTAATGTATTCTATTATTTTCAACATTATTAGTTTCAAAGAACATTACTTTTAGATTCATAGTAATTGTAAAAAAGCTTGGAGCATTTTATATATTCATTTATTAATGTGTAGAAATAGATATCATTTTATACTAAAAAAATTATAATATTTTATTTGCGAATGTTGGTCATTTGAAAATGAATGACTAACTACGTACATAAAACTATTTCGAATTGAGCAACCACATTGGTGGCTGCAGTTCCTCCTTTTGTGAAATGCATCGTCGATCCCGGAAAGTACTCGAATAGAACTCTTCCTCGGCATGACAGACGGAATGTGGGAACGGAACTGACATGGAGTAAACTGTAACGTGAAGGACTCGCGTTTGTCTTTTAAATATTGATTTGTCTGTCGAACGGACGTTATGTGACAACGATGAACGTTTTTCTAATATTTTGCGTCGTTGACGAATATTACGTGAATGCGATCGAGTTGCAAGTAACCTAGCATAAGTACGTAAAATCCACTTTTAACTTTCGAAACGTCAAACGTAGTCCACTACTATCTACGACGCAAACATCAACCTTGCCGGGATATTAAAGTGCTCATTGTACGGCATGTACCTTGATCAAGATATTTCGAATATTTCGCACAGTAGACACCCAAAAGATGAATCATACCAAGGAATATCCTAATTCTTGTTCATACTATACCAACGTGGGTCTAAATTTCTTTATAGAGTGATATCAAGACATATTGTTTTTTTATGTCATATATCTTTTGACAGTACTAATATTTTCCGTAAAAATGTCTTTCTCTGGCGATTCTTTTTACTTCACCTATATTAATTCGGTTCCACTTTCCAAAAGAAATTATACATCATTTATAATCAGAGGTTAAATATTAAAAACTTGTAAAATGCAAAATATATTCCTTTTAAAAGACAAATTTTTCAAACTTTTACGTAAATATTGTAACTATGTTATATATATGATATATACACATACATATATATATATATATTATATATGTCAGATACTATTGTGCAAATATAAATTTTGATTACACTATAATTTTTTTTAAAAATATTCTTTCAGTTTCTTATTCATAATGGACCATATGAAAAGTACAAGTACTTATGTAAACATGAAGATCATGAGACATTTGCGTATTGCCTGTAATTGCTATTTTCAGGTAAGGATTCATATTTCATTAAAAAATTAACTTTCATTTAATTTAATAAAGTTCCATGATATATGAAATTAACTAGTAATATTAAAAACATCACATTCTACTATAATATTGTAGGGGACAATGTGGAACTTCCAAAAATTTTTGCTACTATAAATCTTTTAGCAACCAAATAAATTAAAAGTATTGAGATGGACTCTCCACCGTCATGTTCACTAAGCGCTACTGGACCTCTCAGTGATCTTGGTAGCAGTGGAATTGGAGGGTCCATTTCTAGCGATTCAGTTAGAGCACATCTTGCAATCGAGGTATTATTTATTATAATATAATATTGATATTCACATAAAACTAATATATATATATTAAAAGCTTAAAGTATTGTTCTAAGTAAATAAATTATATTTATTTTAGATGCAAGAAAGCGATATAGAAAGTAAATCTTTATCGCAAGATTCTTTTGATTATTCAGATGGTATGTGTGGTGAAAATTTTAATACATTGAAAAAAGGACCAGGATGGACTGATGCTGATGGAAAATTAGAAGTTGAAGTGGTTGATGTAGCAATTAAACCTCCACCAGAATTTCAAGATAGCCCTTCTCCTCCTAATTCTGAATCTTCATCTGCACCGATTCTTAGCTATGCACGATTAATGAGACAAAAAGTTCCACAATTAATAGATGATTATGCTGAAAATTTAGTACAGTCAATGATTGAAGAAGCACTTCTAATATCTTGTAGAATATCATGGCCAGAAGGAAGAATAGCACCTGCGACAAATCATGTACCAGTGGTAACTCGTAGTGTATACAATCCAAAACGTTTTTGGGCCACAGACTTGTTAACTCCTTCATCATGCCAAGGTGCTACCACTTTGATTACTCCATATAACACTTTAAATCGTCCAAATTCACGATGTTCTTTAGCTTCTTCTCGTTTATCCAGTTCTCATAATTCAATAAATACCTCAGGTCTGAGTCATAAAGCAGATGATAGCAGTTTTATCACCTCTGCTATGTCACATGATGTTTTAACGACCAGTGAGATTAGTGATATGTACAATGTGCCCTTTGATTCTGACATTTATACTGTACCAATAGATGTAGTTAGACCTTTGCATGATCTTAGAATACCGCAAAGGCCTAAACGTCATAGACATCATCGTAAAAGAAGAAGAAATGTATCTGCTAGTTCACAGAGTGAATTAGAAGCCCATATTCAACAGGCAAGGCATTACTGTGGAAAACCTCGTGCTATTACTCATGTTATTAAATCACAGAGACTATTATCAGATGTATGCTGTAATGAAACTGGAAATGGAAAGCGACATAGCGTTCCAGGTACATCTGGTCGACATACATCTCGAACATCTAATGGTCACGTGCATAATATCGGTGAACCAATTCATATGACTTTACACGAAGTGCGTCAATATTTGCAAACACTATACTCAAGCTCCAGTGATTCTAGTGAAAATAAAATTAAACGCGATAATAAAGCTCCAATAAGTCATACACCTGTACACCTTGCAATGCCAAAAGGTATTAGTGTAAATAATAACAATAGATATAGTAACCCGCATACAGATTCAGCGATGGATACTCCGATTTCAAACAAAAATAGCAATGGACTGATTCACAATAACAATAATAATAATAATAACAATAACAATAATAATAATGGTAATGTTAAGAAGCATAAAAAAAATTCGTTCGTTAGTATTAAACATAAAAAGGTAAAAGAAGAACCACATAAGGAGAAAGTTGATTCTGAAAGGGAGAAGATTAAAAAGAGTCAGCGGAACTTCTCATTAAATCTGAAACAAACACTTTGCAATATCTTTAGATTCAAGCGTTTGGGTTCTCCGGACCATTTCGTAGAAAAAAGAAATAGCATTGTACAGGGTGAAATTGTAGAAGAAGAAGAAAGTGTTGATTCTGACCAACATGCTAATAATAATAATACTACCTCAGAGGTAGATTCCTCTGTACAAAAGCTACCTTTTTTTAAACGTGCATTACCGCCATTGCCGAAAAGCAATGGACATGTAGGAGGCGTAGAACAAGCAGAAGATGCGCTTACAACAATGGTATCTAAATGTGAAAGTCCAACTTCTATACCACCACAAATACCTCCACCTGTACCAAAGGTCGAGGATGAACCAGCGGAAGATACCAGTATGGATTTTGCTGCTAGTATTGAGAAAGTAAAAGATGTATGTAATTTATATTTCCTATTTGATTTTTATAAATATTAAGATTCATTTATAATTGGTGAATTTTATTTCAAATAGTATGGATGGTATTGGGGCCCAATATCTGGTGAAGCTGCAGAGAAAATACTGTCCAATGAACCAGATGGGTCATTCATTGTACGAGACAGTAGTGATGATCATTATATTTTTTCTTTATCATTTAGACTTAACAGTTGTGTGCGACATGTAAGAATAGAGCATGATCAGGGTAAGTTTTATATTTCTATGTATGTAATTCTTCTGTGCACCATTATTTTTCTAAATGATTTTAATATTTCTATGTCATACATTTAGGTAATTTCAGCTTTGGAAGTTGCACAAAATTTAAATCTCATACAATTGTCGACTTTATCGAGAATGCAGTAGAACATTCGCGTAGTGGACGATACTTATTTTTTCTTCATCGGCGGCCAGTGTTAGGTCCAATGCGTGTGCAACTTCTTCATCCAGTGTCGAGATTTAAACAGGTTCAAAGCTTACAGCATACATGCAGATTTGTTATTTTGAAGATGGTACGCAGGGATCTTATTCCCACTCTACCTCTGCCTCGGCGGCTCATTGATTACCTGAGCACGCCTCATTACTACAGTGAGCAATTAGCTGAACAAGATGACAGAGTTGAATCTCCTGTTAGTTCTTCAACTGGTGAATTAGAGAAGATTTGTTTCACACCACAAGGCCTATCGTGAGGTACAAATACATAATCTTTTGTCCTTCATTTT